GATTCCGAATAACTTATTTCCGAATAAACTGGAAAGTCATATTTATTTTTGCTTATTCATCGCACTCTGATATACATAGTTAGTTTCTTATAAAAAAAACAATAACTCACAGGTAAATTAAACGACAGATAAAGTAATTTTTTAATAAAATTTAAATCAACGGAATTAATTAATTATGAAAAAATTCAAAAATAGCTGTGACATAAAATTAATATTACCTAGATATTTAATTAAAAAAATAATTAAACTAAAGTATTTGAGAAATTAGTGAATTTTCGAATATTGTTAGTGTTATTGTAAGTTCCTATAATTAAAAATTTTGTAGTTAGAATTAAACGCGTTGACATCAACGAAATGACATTTTTTTTACAAAACTTAGGTGCCTTTTTCGATAATCGAGAAACCTGTTTAGAAAGTTTTAAAAGGCACACTATACTGTTCAGCAAATATATTTGTGCCTTGATGTTTCAAAGTATATGTAAATAAAAAGGGTAATTTTCATGAAAAATTTATAAATGGTTTGTATTTTTACAATTTGAAAGGAAGGAAGATAAACATAATAACGATGTTAACCATATCAGGCAATTATTTGATTATCTCGAATTATGACTAATTTATCTGGAACATAAGAGAAAACAAAGATATATTTTTAGCAAAATACTATGGACTCTCCCCACCGTATCTGATGAGACAGGAGGGGTTGACTGGTATATATTGAATAACCATTCGAATCGATATATAGTACATCTTATAGTACCTACGTGGTTCCAACGGTGTCTTTTTTGGTTCGGGTTTTATTTTCGCGTTTTCTGTTAAACCACAATACTGGCTAACACTTTCAAAAAGCTCGTAGCAAAATATCACAGAACAAATTGTTTTGTTTCGAAATCGGACAAAATCTATCTGAAGTTCATTTTTGGGTTCTACTCTATGTACCATAAGAGTTACACTTAAAAATTTTTGTAAAATTTTTCAATTGGCGAAAAACTTGTTTACGAGATTGAAGATGCCTGACATAATCAACAAGAGCGACAATATGTAAGTCAGTTTTTATTTATTAAAAAATCTATTTTGAAATTAATAAGATAAACTGTATTTTCTGAGATTTGTATTTAACTTCGGCTTTAAAATTGGGAAGCGTTTAATGATTGTCAGGGGTATTTATAATCTTTTATAAATTGTGATGTATTTTAAAGAAATACGTATTTTTTAAAAGTTAACTAATTTACTATATGAAGCGCAATTATCAAAGAAATTATTTTTTAAATCAAAATATAACTACTAGACCTCAACGAAATATTGTTGTTTTTATGCAATGTATTCTTTTAATTTTTACCAGCATGATTTTGACCTGAAAAATAATATTTTAGAACCTACCTAGAATAAATGAAATTCTCAATTTACGTTTAGAAAAAAAATAACACTAAAACATTTTCCGTAATCTTAATTTCTTTTTGTTTATTAAGAAAGCTAACCTGATGTTTGATTACGCCGCATTTAAATGATGCTTATTATTTTAAAAAGATATTATAGACTTTAACAAATTAATATTTTACAACTATCAGTTCTTGATCCAACTCCTGTATCACTGTTCGTATGTGAAAGTATATAATAAAAGTCTGCCAAATCTTATGAAAGAGAGAAAAAAACAGAAAATCATCCAACGATTTTACTCTTGATTAAATTACGATTTAGCTTGAATTTTACCACAAATAAGGACGGTGCTAGGTTAGGTTTAATCAGGTTCACTTTTACCTGCTTTTCTGTTACAGATTATTGTAATTACCTAGATAGCGACGCATGATGTAATGCAGCACCGCGTCACGTCAGGTATATTGATCTAAAGCGGTCTTTGTTCGAAACCAAAAAAATACAACAAAACCGGAATGTTATAAATAAAGTATAAAGTACACACCTCCAATCTTTTGTTTACAATTTCCTTGTTTTTATCTTTATAGAAACAAAGACCTTGTGTAAGGTGGACTTAATTTTCATTAAATCACTACACAATGTCAATGTATAAATCATTAAAAGCGAATTACTTAAAAGGATATTGATAATTATTGAGAAGACTATAAGTTTTAGCAGAACTTTAATTACCTAAGACTTTAGTAAATCTCACTAACTCACGATTTAGAATAAACTGACAATAACAACTGGAATCCTACAGATAAAATATCTTTACAACCAGTGGCGTGCCTAACTTCCGGTTAAACATTAATTTGCAGAACTTTGAAATGTTTTTAAAAAATAATATGATTAGTTATAATTTTTTGTTTTGTCTTTTAACTTCATACGACTATTCCCTGTTAGCGATAAATAATAAATATCTGTACATAAATATATTTTTGTAATTTAGTAAATTTCTAATGTTTTTTTCGTAGTATACTGCTATGTACCTGTTTATTATTGAAGATTGTTATTTGGAGGAAACAAAATACCTGGAAACTGTATAAAATTATTTTCACAATACATAAAAAAGTAAAATATTAAGACTACATACCTATTACATAATAACATATTAGTTGATTTTAGAACTTATTTTATTGATAATTAATAAAAAAAGATTGAACAATTACTTAAAGATCTTTTTATTCGGCGAAACTTAAAACATTTTATTATAAATAATAAATATAATATAAATATTTATAATAGTGAAAGAAAGTCAAAGAATACACAGGCTGTTTCGAATTAAACTCCCCTGTTGGTTATCTCGAAAACCTAAAGGGCTGTCTATATTCTATAAAATATAAATGTGTATCTTACTTTTCGGTTTAACTTTTATTTTAGTATTCTACTCCTCTGGGGGTTTCCTGAGAACTTTCTTGGAGAGGTACATAAAAACATTAAGCCTTTATTAAGGTTGGCAAGCAACCAATATAATACTAAACTGTAATGTGAGTTGCATATAATGGAGATTTATCAAGTGTGTAGTTCATAGTTATTTAGCGAATGTGAATAAACATATTTTTGACTTGTAGATATAAAATACAGTTAAAGACTCGATTTATATTTGCACAGGTTGGTTTATCGTGTTACCCCTATTTTCTATGACAGGTATTTGTTAACGTAGGAAAAAATTAGTTATAGGAATATTATTAAATTTTTGTAATAATTAACATTTATTTGTTTATGAAAACAATTGAGAATCGGGGAATAGGTTTAATTGGGATATTCTTTTAAATGCAGTTTTTTCATGGTTGGATCGGACGTTTTCTTATGTTTACAGAAATATACAATACAGCGATTATAGATATAAAGCTTGATGGATATATTTTTAATAGTATCTACCGAAGACAGTATATGGTAAAAAGAATGTAGTATAAATTTAATATGCCACAGAAAAAGATTGTTAGTTTCTAAGGAACCAGGTCTGTGTAACTCTTTGCCGATATCTGCCTTGTGATTAGAGATAGAGCCATTTATACAGTGTGTTTCAAAACTTATGCCGGAAAATGAAGGGTGTGGTGTGATTCTTTATCTCATTTTAAGCAAAAAAGTTCCTATTAACATGGGTCCGCAAACTCACCGTTTTCGAAATATAGGTCACAAAAAAATATTTTTTTCCAGTTTGAGACGCAGAAATCAAATTTTTTATACATATTATCATTAATATTAGCTACTTTTGAGCGCTAATTCAATTTTTATTCATATGAAGGTGGCTATTTTAGGACTGCGTGAGGTTCTTTTGCCCCTAGTTTTTACAACTCTGGGGAAAATTGGAGTACTCATCATCATCAAAAGCTTAGTTTTGAAATATTTTTTTTTTGTCATGTTGCCACTTTCACGTTTTCCGTCATAAAACGCCTTTTATCTTGAAAACGGTTCGCGTTAGAGCTTTTGATGACGATTATGTTTTTAAAATGCCAATTTTCCTAGAGTCGTAAAAATTAGGGGCAAAAGAACCTCATACAATCCTAAAATCTCCCCCACTGTCCTATGAATAAAATTAAATTAGCGCACAAAAGTAGCTAATATTAATGATAATACGTGTACAGAATGTGAGTTCTTCATCTCGAACGGTTAGGTACTGAGATATAGTCAAAAAAAGGGAAAAATAATTTTTTGACACTCGAAAACGGTGTGTTTGCGGACCAATGTCAATAGGAACTTTTTTCCTAGAATGATCCAAAAAATCATTTTATTTACCGACATATGTTTTGAAACAGCCTGCATATGGGGGTGAGGGGGGGGGGGTATATTTAAAATATTATATTATAACTATGTATGTAAATTTACTATGTTTAAGTAATTATTTAAGTCTACAATCATATTGCTTCAAAAACGTAATTCTAAATCAAGAAGATTATAGAATTTACAAAATGTGTATAATTTCACATTCGTAAAAAATTATGATTATCACCATACAATGTAAATATAGTGTGGCCCATTAAAAACCAGGACACTCCTCCAACAATTATGGTTCTGTAGCCTTTATTACAGATACATGTTTTACATTTTGGCAAAATTTATCAAGATCAAAGAATGTTAGTGAAAGGAATATTTTAATAGAAACAAAAGTGTTAGGTATTAAAAGGAATAATTAATCGACATTTTTTGAGAACTGGATATAATTATTTAAATACGATATTTAAAAACCAATCTGCAAACATTAAAAAACGCTTAGAGATAGGTACCAATTAATTAACAAATACAAAATTGAGCTACTACCTGCCTAAAGTAATCCCGGCCTTATCATATCGTTATCTAAGGCGACGAAGTCGTATAAAACTGTGCACCCACAATTACTCTTGTCAGATGCCATGCAGCCTGGCAGCCTTCTAATATAATAGTTACAATTAGCCGAGAAGTTGTTTTCCTGTCCAGAGCTACCGCTGGTCATTGATTCGGTGACACAATAAATGGAGCGATGTGATATCGCGTCCGAACGCAGATCGCGCGTCATACAAATTCATCATTTTTTGTGCTTCCCTATAGTTTAATTTAATTAAACAGCCCGTTGATAAACTTATTTTTAGTGGAGAAATACTTATAGATAGATGTTGTAACAAACATGTTGTGAATATCGTTAAGATTACTAAGTATTCCGACAAATTGCTCCGCATGAGAGCAATAGACTTCTTGAGAGATCGGTGAAACTAAGTTGTTGAAAATGAAGCCGCTTCTACTGATTTTGACAAAAAAGCAACTATGTGGGAATTTATTTTACAGATACTCGAATGAGTTTGGACGTTTCGTCAAGAATTTATCCCATCCTAATGTGGGACTCTTCAACCAGTTGAGGGGGATCAGTGTTGTGCACGGGAATTTGAAAGAGTTGTCGCCTAAGGTGAGTGTTTTTTTTTGATATTTTCGTTTCCTCTTTTATCCATATTCTGATAAGAACGTATAAATTCTTGCTACTTAGATGCTGAAATATTTACTCTAGACAAATTTATGGTTGGTCACATCAACAGGGATTATTATTACAAAATATTATAAGGATAGGAATCATATGATAGTAGTAATTTGTACTTTTTTCAAAAATGTAAATTTTGGTAAATTCCCTAAGAGATACTTTAAAATAAAATTGCTTACATAGAGACAATATCAACTGCTATTGAAAATACATAGAAAAGGAATGAACATTTTAATATACAAAAGTGATATTAAAAAAATGGAACGCTGCAACTAAGTTATCACCACTTGACATTTAATTATTAAGAATGCGTGTTTATAACATTGCTTTCCAATTCATATCTACGATATGGTTTAAACATTTCTTTATCAACAATTTGTCTATTTTTACATACATTTATTTACATTATAAATCTAAGGGCGCTTACACAACAATTAACTATTCACAGTAAATAAAAACATATTGATTTCTTCGAATTCTTCCAATGATATGCTTACCATTCGAAAATACTATCTAGAATTGTAATAAAAATTGTTATATTTTATTTTTTTTTTAATAGAAGCAAGAAATATCTAATATTTTCTTGAACCTCGTTATGAAAATATATTTTCAAATAAAAACACTTTAAATTTTGTTATTGCATTGCATTTATTGCAAATACATAGAATTATAAGCAATACATTTCAAATGTTTGTAAAAATGGTACATTAAGATATATTTAGAATTATTAGTACCTATAATTATTTAAAAATGTTTAAAAGACGAAAAAGATTTTTAGACCAAAGTTAACAACGACATTCTTTTCCCAGAGACGTGTCACAAGACTTGAGTTTCTTAATGTCATTTTATTGGTGTATTGTGTACGCCAAATTTTGTTCCTTATCTTCATTTGTTCAGAAAATACTTAGATATAACATTTATTTAAATTATGTCATCTTGTATTTTTGAAAATGAGTGTTCACTGGGAAAGTGCAAAAGGAGTATGTACCTTTATTTTTGACAAGGCGTTGAGTTACACCCCATATTGTTAGAAACTAGTAAAAGTACAATTTTAGAATTTACACTAATAAATACAGAGATTTTTTTATCCGTCCACGTATTTTATTCTGATACACTTTGACATTCAGTGACCGTTTACTAATGATTGAAATAATTTGTCCCTATTGACCTCAAGATCGTTATAAGATGCACTTGTATAAAGTCATCCAGGATTTCTAGGTTAAATTTTATAAAACTTTATATATCTATAATTAAAAGGTCATTTATCTGTAAGATAAAAAATGTATAAAGTATCGTCGTTATAAAGATCTCTTATTTCCTTTATTTAATTACAAAACTTTAAGAAAGTCCAATGTAAAATTTATAGAAAAAGTTAATAAAAATTGGATCACTTAAATTTGACCAGGTAAATAAAGATAATCAATTGACAAATATAAATTTAATATTAAAAGTTAGACATATAATTAGCTTAGTAAATAGAAGTTATAGTTTAATTAATTAATTACTTCATTAATACGTTTTGAAGTTTTATATAAATCTGTCTCTATTTTTTTTAGGTGCGTGGTTATGTGGAAGCAAATGTAGATTTGTGCAGACCGGAAAGAATTTATATTTGCGATGGGTCTGACAATGAAAACAATCAACTTGTTAAACTTATGCAACAACAAGGGACAATCGTACCTTTGCCTAAATATGAAAACTGGTAAGTTTTTACATTGATATGAATCTTTAATTAATTTTAAAATGTATATGCAATTATATACATTTACGTATACGTATTTTATTTCGTCCATTTTAAATGGTAAAATTGTAAAATTTAAGTTCTTTAATTAATATAATAATAATCCAGTGGTAAAAAATAAAACGATCTTTTGATATTACCATATTTTATATAAGTTCAGTAAACAGTTTTATCTGTTTCTCATCATGATTTTATAAATAAAAACAAATTTATTTCGAATTAAATAATTTTGTTATTTTTGGTCTCGTTAAAAATGTTATAATTTTTAGTTGGTTGGCAAGAACGAATCCTGCTGATACCGCAAGAGTAGAGTCAAAGACATTTATTTGTACTGAAACCAAGTCTGAAACCATCCCCACACCAAAGGATGGTGTTAAAGGTGCCTTAGGCAACTGGATATCGCCTCAGGATATGAATGCCGCTATAAAAGAACGATTCACTGGATGTATGACTGGTAGAACGATGTACGTGGTGCCCTTCTCCATGGGGCCCATCGTTTCTCCATTGTCCAAAATAGGTAATTTTTTGTGTAATACATATAAATAAATTTATGCAAAAGCAAATTTTTTCTGAAAATATGTACATTTTCGGGCGAATCTTAAAGTTTATGCTAAAAGAGATAAGGAAGGGACACAGTTTAATGAGATACTAAGTCAAATTAATCTTAATCAAATGTTGCTCCTTTTGAATTTAGAGATGATCAAAATAATAAAAAAAAGATTCGAATTCTGTCACTATTTCTAGAAGTATTTCACTAATCATTTTGAAAATTTCGGAATTTTTTATGGTGAGAAAATAGTATTTATTTTTTACTTACACGTAAATGGTGCTAATTATATCTTCTGATAGTTTTCCGTGTTATTACATAACATATACCTATGTATACTTACAGCACAAGTAGTTTCTTTTCATGTTAAATACATTCACTGGATGGATATTCAAAACAATTGCAATACCTACTAGAGGTTTTTCAGTAATAAAATGTTTAGTTTTAATAATTTTTCTATTACCTTTTATCATTTCTTATAAATTAATTTTCATGATTTTTCATGTATTGCCCAACAATGTATAATTTTATATGTAGCGAGATGAAAAATCGCATTATTTTGGAAACGGTTTAATTTTTTTACTATTTTACTAAAAATGTCATGTTGTGATAATATTAGTAAACAAAATATCTTTTTTTATTTCTCCCTTTCGCAATTGTAATATGAATGATTGATAGAAGGTGCCTATAATAAATAAAAATTACCTGAATCACACCAAATTCCGCATTGATGCACTGCACTGCTGGGCAATTTTTCAACCACTTATCATCTGCTGTGATTTATTGTCCAGTAGTCCAATATAACTGTGATAGTTTTCCTTTGTCCGCGCTCGCATTCTTCAACTGAGCGTATACATTTCTATCACCTCTACGTTTAGTTCGACCAGACCTGTATATGGGTCTGGCTAAATAAATATGGGAACAAGTTTTTCAAATATTTTAATGCCGAGTTGCTGCGTCAGCAACTGAACCTGGTACATACTATCAATCTGTTGGTTCTTCAATTGATATCGGAAAAACTATACTGATAATATTAAAATAAATATTATTTTTTCGATTTTTATACTAAAAGGTATATTTAACAAAACATTCAACTTATTGAAAGAATTTGAACTCTTTTTACTTTAGAAAATTCTTAATGTTGAAAATGAGCAACATCTGATTAAGGAAACAAAATCAATTAAGCTATGTCTCATTCTTAATACCCTGTATATTATGCATATCTTCTAACGTCATTTATTTTGCTTTGAAACCAGATAAATCTCTGACCAAACTAACATTATTTGATTAAACGTCATAGATTCCATCTCACAAATCTAATATAAAAAGTCTTATAAATATGTGTTCGGAAACGCTTTGTTTTTGAGATACAGTATGTTGAAATATATAAAAAAAATTTATTTAAATATTTCTTAAGGTATCTTGACTCAGATTGATGAAACTTGAATAAAATATTTTGAAAATCCAATAAGTATATTCAATTTCGTTTGATATTTCTAAGAAAAAATATATCTTTTGTTTTTCGAACAAACGAGCTAGTTTTTAGTTATTTTTTTCGAAAATAACTTCTGCACTATTTGTGTCATAAAAAATATAGGTACTTTTTGTTAGAAATACAGTTTTAAATACATAGTTAAAAATTGGACCTTTTTTGAACTTTTTATAATTATTGTATTTAAAGTTTAATTTCCCACAAAAGTTTTGTAACATGAGTAGTACTGACATTAATTTCAATTTTTTCAAATATATAAAAGGCTTATTAAAAATGATTGTAATAGTAATTCGTTTTTCGGATAAAATGGAACATATCTTTGCTCTTGGGAATGCCCACCGAAGTTAAATGCGCGTAATACATTTCCAAAATATTCAATGGCGTCGAAACTTTAGAGTTCTTAAAGAAGTTGTTTTCTTGTATCTCCGCCATTGATTGACAAATTTCTGTATCAGCTTCCATTTTTTGCAAATTCTTTCCCATAACTAAGCATAAGCCATGGTTTCATTAATCTACTGCAAACAATTTAAAAGATATTTAAATAAATGCGATATATCTTTTTAAATTCAATATCCTGTATCACGAAAACGAATAATTTCCCGACACATGTGTATAGAAACATTATGTATTGATTTATAACGTAGGATCCAGAATCCGTAGAAGCTTGGAAAAGTTTTTCATTAACACATGAAAATTGGAGAATGAATTTCCCTTATTTTTTCCAATAATTGTGGCTTCGTTTAACATAAAGTAATTTTTCTTTCAGGCATTGAACTGACTGACTCCCCTTACGTAGTGGCATCCATGAGGATAATGACCAGAATGGGCAAAGCAGTTCTGGAAAAACTGCTCGAAGGGGAAGACTTCGTGAAATGCCTACACTCTGTTGGCACTCCCGATAACGGCTCTGTAGAAATGCCTAGTTGGCCGTGCGATCCCAAGAGGACGATCATCCTCCACAGACCAAAGGACAACGAAATCGTCTCTTACGGAAGCGGCTACGGTGGCAATTCCTTGTTGGGAAAGAAGTGTTTTGCATTGAGAATCGGTTCCACGATCGCTAGAAGGGAGGGGTGGCTGGCTGAACATATGTTGGTGAGTCTTTTTGTATCATCGTAGTAATGCGAAAATGCCTTAGCCTTATACAAAGTGAAATTCTACTGCACTAAAATTACAGTTTGACGTGGAAACGTTTATAGAATCGGACGTCGTTCAAGAAATAGAGATGCAACAAAAATATGAAATGATCTTTCTGCTTTTACCATTAAAAACAAAAAAATGTAAACTTTGTGAGTTTAAAACCAACAGCAGGATACAACTCACTCACTTTTGTTTGCAAGATTTTGCATTAGTTACTACTGTGTTTTAGTAAAAGTTGCTGTTAGACATAAAAAAGTTTAATATCACTAAAGTTGTTATCATTTTTAATTTTTAGACACACCGAAAAAGAAGAGATGATGAGCTCTATATTAGGAATAGCTACTAAAATATAATTTTCAGAAATCATAAGAATAATTTGTTTTCGGTAGTTATTATGAAAAATACAAGCTTTTATCCATTCACTATTTTCATTTCATTGTGAGCAGTACTCAAAACAAATTGGTATTTAAAGAAGTATAATTTCCTTTTAAGTTAAAGATGTTCAAATATTTCGTTTCGATTTTTTTAATCTCCTAATCTGTGGTTTCCCCTTTAAGTATAATCTTTGCAATTTTAACGACTTTGATTATTGAAAATACTTATTATCCTCTCGGAGTTTGTAAACACACTGTATATTAATTTCGTAAGTAATCTGTACTTATATTTCCTTTGTCAAGGTCTTTGCTATTGTTTATTTTACAGATAACAATATAAGTTGCAATGTATTCTCTATTACCTAATTTACTGTGACGTGACCGCTTGCCTTGCTAGAAAATTATACAATATCTTTCCAAAGATATTCTTGATTTTTGTGGATTAGGTATACATATTTTTCATAGATAACGATAAAAACGGGTAACTTTAATAAATCTTTCTATTTTCCATTTATACAACAAACACATACATATTGAATTAGTAGGGAGATAAATAATAAAATGTTAGAATTTATTTTTTGGTGCTGCTTCACCAAACTCATTTTATCCTTGAGACGCATAGGTCAAGAAGAGGGTCCGCAGTAGGACTGACATAGGCAGGAGGCTATAGTGGTGGAATCGACGTTACAAGTTAATAAAAAAAAGCTCTTATAAAAATATGCTCGGATGGGCTTTATTTTAGAGATACGGGGTGCTGAATTTATAAAAAAAATTAGATTTATTTAAATATTTCTTAAGATGTTTGACGTAGATTAATGAAGCTTGATTTAACTACTTATAGACAAAAATTTGCAGAATTGGTACAAAAATCAGTGGCGGAGGTACTGGGAAATATCGTGACTAAAAACCTTACAATTTCGATGAGACTAAATATTTTGGAAATTTGATAAGTTTATTTAGTACCGGTTGATATTTTCTACAAAATAGGTGCCTTTCTTTTTATTCGAAAAATGAACCGGTACCTATTATTTGTTTTCTTTCGGCTTCACAAAAATATAATATAAGAATTTTTTTAGAAATACAATTTTAAATACAATGTAATCATCAAAAATTAAAAAAATTGACAAATTCGCACACCCACAATTTGTCATTTGGTTTCTTTTTACTAATCAAGTCAAGTCCCTAGTACAAATCTCAGCCATTTACGTCAAGCGTCTTAAGATATATTTAAATAAATGTAGGTATTTGTTTATTTTTTTAACATAGGGTTTTGCGAAACGTTTCCAGAAACATATTTATAAGGACTTTATTATTGATTTGTGACCTAGAATCCAAATTCGCCATTTAAAATTTGTGCAGAATATTTCATTAACACCTTGTATATGTATGTAGAATCTTGTAGACGCATCGCTTTTCAACTGTTAATTTTAAAAGTTAATGTGGAAAATAACTTGATGTAGTTATAGTATAATGATTATATGTTCCCTTAATTTTATTGAATCTTTCTGTCTTTCTTTCATGTGTTACATTTGTGACACGATTTTATATTTATTTCATTATTTACAGATTTTGGGAATAACAAATCCTCAAGGAAAGAAACGTTACATTGCAGCCGCCTTTCCATCTGCCTGTGGAAAAACCAATCTTGCAATGATGACCCCAGCATTGCCCGGCTATAAAATTGAATGTGTGGGTGACGATATCGCTTGGATGCGATTTGACAGTAATGGACAACTAAGGGCTATCAATCCAGAAAACGGATTCTTCGGCGTAGCACCTGGTGAGTAACACAAAATATGCATAATATATTTATATTTAGTTTAAAAGTACATTAAGACACGTATTTCTCCGGAAAAGGATTTTTATCACTGATCCTTTCTTAATTTTTAGGTACCTCCAACAGCAGCAATCCAATAGCTATGAAGACAATTTTCAAGAACACAGTATTCACAAACGTGGCTTCGACAAGCGACGGAGGTGTATTTTGGGAAGGAATGGAAGACGAAGTTCGCAATGATGTTAAAATCACAGACTGGCGTGGGAATCCATGGGTCCGAGGAAAGAGTTCTTCTCCAGCTGCTCATCCCAATTCAAGGTAATGAAAAACTCCCAAATTGTCGTAGAACGTCTAAAGTTCTTTTTCGTACAGATTTTGCACTCCCGCTGCACAATGCCCCATTATTGACCCAGCGTGGGAAGATCCAGAAGGTGTACCAATTTCGGCAATCCTATTCGGAGGTCGTAGGCCGGCCGGAGTTCCTCTAGTGTACGAGGCACGCAACTGGAAGCATGGAGTCTTTGTTGGCGCCGCTATGAGATCTGAAGCTACTGCTGCTGCAGAACACAAAGTGAGTACTTATAATTAGTCAAACAAAAATATATTAGCTCAAATGTTCTAAATAAATCCTGTGAGTAATTTGGGTTAACATTTTCATATTACCAAAAAAATATTTTGACGTCTATAAAATTGTTTGCGTAACGAGTATTGTATATTTGCAACAGATGTTACAAAAATATAGGTTTCCTTCTGGTTTTTGAACCGATGAACGAGTCTAAGTACTGATTGAAAGCCAAATAAACGAATGAGCTTTATAACTTTGAAAAATGTGAGAGTACTCAGAAAAATACTCGGAGTAGGTCATTTCACCAACTTCGGTGGCTTTGGTTTATAATTCGGTAATCAGAATGAAGCGAATAAGGCCTCGAGGAGCCAACAAGTTCCAAACATCGATCGTTGAAACTTGATGTTACAGAGAAATGCTGGTTGCTGAATATGAATCGAATTTTAGTAGCAAGACTTCTCTTAATCTTAAAGAAAATTCATTTACAAACAATGTAAGGCTTCCTTCATCAAAATCGGCCGTTCTCTTCGAGAACATTGACTTTGTAAAATAGCTATAGTTTAGACAATTGCTGTGAACAGTTTGCAGTCTACTGCAATCGGATCCCAAATAAGGAGACGTATCCATGCATTATAATTATTGAGGTTCTGTTAGCGAAACAACCCATACCAAGCTTTTAGTTATTTTTTCGTTAAAATTTTAAATCGTTTCCCAATGACCGACTAATTAAGACTAATAATTTTCAGGGAAAGGTCATCATGCACGATCCGTTCGCTATGAGGCCCTTCTTTGGTTACAATTTCGGAGACTACTTGAGACATTGGCTATCCATGGAAAAACGCTCGAAAAATTTGCCCAAAATATACCACGTCAACTGGTTCCGAAAAGGAAGCGATGGTAAATTCCTTTGGCCAGGATACGGTGAGAACTCCAGAGTCTTAGACTGGATTTTGAGAAGACTGGACAACGAAGACTGTGCTCAAGAGACTCCTATAGGATATCTTCCTAAACAGAATTCATTGAATCTCGACGGACTGAAAGAAAATGTTAACTTAACTGAATTATTCAGTTTACCTAAAGATTTCTGGTCAGAGGAGGTGTACGCTATAGAGAAATATTTGTCAGAGCAAGTAGGAAGTGATCTGCCTAATGAAATTTCTAAGGAATTAGCTGAACTTAGGAACCGCGTCAGTGCCATGTAGAGTTAGATAGACCATGTCCATTTTCTCGTCTCGATTTTGTCCTTTGTTTTTTTATAATACATTTCAATGTATAAATATATAAAATACATTGACATATATAATCTAATATTACAATAGGATATTGTATCCTAGACATTTACTCATACAAGAATTTCTTATTTATATTCCGAGTATATTATATTTTTATATTTAAGGTTTTATGTTATTTGTAGGAAGTTTTTAATTTAAAATAAATAACTATTTTTTATAATGTTCTATTTTTTTATCTGCCAACCTTGCCAAATATTATGAATATCTTCTATTGTATGTATGTGTTGAATATGTTTGAATGGATAATATTTATATATTAATATTGATTATCAATATTAACAATAATTGATAATATAGAGTATTTTCGAACTAATATCTAAGAAGTTTAATTTTGTGAAAATATGATGTGGCTAGCGCTAAAAAATTGTATGCTTATTTGTTTGTATGTAGATTTAGTAAGTAGGTATGATATTTTAAATAATATGTAAATTAAGTCAAGTCCTTTAAAGTTGTCAAAAATAAAACTAATTTAATTAATAACTTCATAACCCTTTTACCGATTGCCTTAAAATTTGGACTGTTATGGCAGGTTATTTCTTAAAGCTTTAGTCAAATCGATATACTGGGTGATAGTTTTCTTCGGTTATCTCTCCCTTTTAGCGGTTAAAACTTTTACAGTGGTCGTATTTTTTTTAAACGGGCAGCAACATTGAAAAGGTCGTTTCATTTAAAAAAAAATTGAGGAAATCGTCTATAAAAAGACATTCTCTTGAGGTCTGTACGTTTCGGTTTGCGTAACAATGTCACGGATTTAAAACTTTGAGTTCAGTAGGCGATGAAAACAAAATGTTGATATCTGTGGCTATCAAATAATATCATTTTTGCCGTGTTTCTTTAGGATTCTCATCACTACACACATCCAAATTATGAACATTTACAACTCTGTTCCTTGTAAAACAAGATTCGTCGGTTCAAAACAATTTTTGAAGCAAATTATTATCTTCTGCGAAGCCGTTCATCAACCAGTGGCAAAATTATAAACGTGCGTTGGGATCTAAATTTCCAAGTCCTTGAGCAGGAGTTAAATGGAATGGCAGAAGAAGTAGATTTTTTAAAGTTTCGTTAACATTAGTTTTACATATATTTAATTGTCTTGATACACTGCGGACACTTCATGTTTTGTATGCGTGGAGTGATGAGAATCGTAAAGAAACACGACACAAATGACATTACCTGATAGCCACAACAATCAATATCTTGTTTTCATCGCCTACTGAACTCAAAGTTTTAAATCCGTGACACTGCTACGTAGACCGAAACGCACAGACCTGCAAATATTGGCATTTTTCTCAAGAATGGCTTCCTATAGGCGATTTTCCCGAGACAATATTTTTTTAAAATAAAACGACCATTTCAATGTTGCTGTCGGTTTTAAAAAAATACGACCACTTTAAAAGTTTTAAAAGGGGTAGGTAACCGGAGAAAACTATCACACAGTATATCGATTTGAAGAAAGCTTTAAGAAATAATACGCCATAATAGTCCAAATAAATGTGCCAAATTTTAACGCGAAAGGGTTATGAAGTTATTAATTAAATTAGTTTTATTTTTGACAACTTTGAAGGCCTGTAACTCAAAAACCAAAAAGTTTTTATTTAACTTTTTTTTCGTAGATCGTATTTATTTATCGCTGTGAATATGCAGTCAAACGTTGTTGGTGAAATTTAAGGACACCCTGTATAATTTAAAAAAAAAAACAATCTTTTAGTGCCACCATGCATCCAAACTAAACGTGTATGTAAAATCTCAGCTTTATCGGTTGGGGATAACTGTTTTAAAATTCACTTTCAAGATTTTACCGATACTAACAAGGCAACTTAAATAAAATCTTATTTTATAATTGAAACAAGTAGACCACGCGGCAAAAATGATGAAAGTCACTTTTATTTCATTTGCTAGGAAATGAATTTTAAAACTAAATTCGGATATCATACAGTTTAAATTTTAAATGAAAATTTTTGTGTCAACGAGTAATTATTTATCGTTGAAAACGATAAAAGTATCCTTAGACCGCTATAATTTTTCTACTTTTTGTATGCATTTTTTTATTATACCGTAAAAATTACTTTCAAGCGTTTTTGCCCTGTAGCTTTCAACTTGAAATAGCTCTTTTTTCGAGCAAAGCATCTTTATGCGTTTATTCTTGGAGTACTAGTCCAACTTCCAAAATACTTAGTGGCGTTAAAATTGTGGGAGTTCTTATGGAAAGTGCCTCCTAGGATTTCCGCCATAGGTTAACAGATTTAAATATCAATTCTGCAATTTTATATCTTTAAAGATTATATCATTAAGTAACCTAAATTCCATTGTATTAAGTCTCCAGTGTATTTCAAATTTGGAAACTAGAGGCCCTAGTTTGCGGAGTCTTTACGTGCGGGAAACCTAACGGATAGTGTTTGTCGGGGCTCGATGATATCGATCATCCCCATGAATCAGAAGAAGCGGAGCGGAAACCCGAAATTTTCAATCAGGTTTCGAAAGCTCTATGGAGCTCCTAAACGCACCCAACGACCGGAGCCACACAGCAGGCAGCATTATTTACTGAGACCGCTGCTGATGGCACAGCTACCGCTGATGACACGAGGGACGTGCGGAAAAACCACCTCAACTTCGAATTATGGAAAATAACAAGTTTCTCAAATACGAAGAAATTGAAGCAGGGTGTCAATAAGAACAACTGCCTTGCCCAAATACCAGTACAGATCGAATCCACCTCAGATGACGGAAAATTCGGAGAAGTCGAAAATGAAATCGGCGGGGCCACCATGGGGTGCGGGCGAACGTCAACTGTATAACTTTGTCAATCATTAACCAAGACGGATACCTGGCCAGTACTCAGTAATCCTTCGCACTTTTAAGTTTTTTTATTACATTTGTTCAATATTTTGAATAAACCTACAATTTTATAAATTCAAATTTGTTTCTAAAATCTTTTTCTTCTTCTCCCATTTTCCAAACGTTGTTCATAACAAAGAGTGTCTGTTCCTCAGTTTTATCTTTGATAATCTCTAGATATTTCTGTGTTGATTTTGTTTTTCTTCATTTTACCTTTCAAAGAAACTTCTATTCTCATTTAGATTATAGGTGATAGTCATTTCTTTAGTTTATTATAAACGGGAACAAAGTTCTTTTTTATAAACTCCTTTCAAAAATAAATTGTATGAAATTGTCACACAAAAATACAATTTTATTAAAAATTCAATACATTATTCTAAAAAATTCAAAACACTTAAATAATATAAATCACACGTTGTAAGAACACTTCTTTTGTTTAAAAGGCATGTGCGCTGAATCACCATTTTATTCCTAAGTTCAGTTTTCTTAAACTTATTGCAGTTCCAAATATTTTATCCCAGAACATACTACTGATACCAAAGCCTGAAACAAATATACGATATAAAATAGGTATCTTTCGTAAATACATATATTTTATTATTAGCTATCACTACTATCTTTTTACTCTTTTTTTTATACACGTGGTGTAATACAGTACTAGGTGGACAAATTAAGTAATTTTATTATCCTAGCGTAGGTAATAAGTGGGTAATAATTTTCTATTGAGTGTTTACATGGTTATTATTATTTAGTTTATCTGCTGTTGTTAATAGAGAGGGAGAGACGAAAGACATTTCTATTTGGATCTAATTCTTTTCAAATCGGTTTTGGTATTGTATGAATTAGATATACAAGGTGCCCCGTTCATGTTTCTAAAAAACTTGTGTGCAAGTTCTTTATGGGAAAATAATGGGGGTAGTTCATATAACGTTTTCTTCTTAGACGCCCCATTTTCGAGATACAATGTGTTGAAGTTGTTCCCTTCCAAACAGTTTTTCTTAATCTTTAAACGGGCTAAAGATACAAATGTCAAAATTTGTACACGAGTAAACATCAACTGGACGTTAAGAATAATGTGGAAACGGTTTCTTTCTGAAAAGCAGTGTCGTCGATACAGGTAATTGGAAGGGAACAATCGAAAAAAAATGTTAAAAGTCAAGCAGTTCGTGAGAGTGTTGCTGAGAGATCAATTCGGCACCGTGGTCAAGAATCGGACAATTTTAAGACGCTCTCTACAGCGTATTCGGGTTTCAGAAAACCCACGAGTGATTTTCGAGAAACAAATGCATTCATAACGTGGCATTGTTTGGTGCGGATTTTGGGCTGGGCGCATCATTGAAATATTCTTCTTCGAAAATGCTGTTGGGCAGGCAGTAACAGTTATTGGTGCCCGCTATCGCGACATGATAATCCAGTTTCTTGTGCCTAGTTGCAAGATATGGATGTAGGTACAACATGTGGTTTCTAAAACGGTGCCGCATTTCTTGGACGTGTAATTTCTCGTTTTAGTGATCAGAGTTGGCTGTCCAGATCATGCGATTTAACGCCATTGAACTTTTCTGATTTTTTGAAGTTGTTTATGCCAACAAGCCCATGGTCACCCACACCTTGAGGGAGCACTGTATCAACGAAATTTAGCCGCATTTATCCAAAACGATCATAGAAAATTTCGTCCGATATATTATTCCATACATAACCCTATGCTGTATACAGTCAATTAGATATGTATAGTTTTTAATTAAAAACCTGCGTTTTCCATCAAAATTACTTCTTGCGTACATTTTGGACACCCTTTAGTTATGGTCATTGAATATTGAAATTTAAAATCAAAACGAGAATGGCTGTTCTCTCTAATCATGCTTGATAAAAAATAAATTGAAATTTGTACCAATGTAGGGCAGAGTACGGTTGTTGTTAAAAGTAAATACGGCATTTTTCATATTTCAAACACACAATTTAAATCTTTTTCCAGGAAATTTTTATTTGTGGAGTAGTAATTGTGTCTGATTTATATAATATCGATATTTTATTGCAAAATAAGGCAAACCGTAGAACTTTTGTCTTACCGTTGTCTTGGTGTGCGAAATGATGTTGATTATGGTACCTCTTCAAGTGGTAAAGGTAAGTATCCTCCTTTGGTGTTCCATGGTGAAGGTAGAAATGGATCATGTCGTAGGTTACATAACCTGTAAGGATTAGAGTTAGTAGGTAACTAAAATAATTGCCGAATAACAAATTTGATTAAAGTTTTTTATAGGGAGTATAAAAAGTACGAATCTATTCTCCATTTTTTCTGAGAAACACAATGTTTATTGACCTTTTGATTTTATTAATAAACACCCATTTAATCATATTTTAACTTTCACTTATTTAAAACCAAATACATTAAAAAAATTATCAACTCCTATAACAAATATAGAAGTTATATTTGTTCTTATTTATATATGTATACAGGGCGAGTCAACGTTGTGGTAAAACTGATTTATCGCTAGAATATAATTGAGGCAAACGGTAAAATATTACAAAATAGATTCGCCATATCGTTGACTCACCCTGTACAAATATTTTTTCCTTGCTTATTATGCAGGGCTGACATTGTTTAAAAATACAAAATTGGGAAATAACAAAACGAACCAAAGGATGTATGTGAATATGGGAAGATGTCCCATGTTAATCGAATTATTATGAGTGAGTTCTCTTCCAACTAAATACAAGTTATTGCCTTATCTGTCAGAAGCAGTAAGTAATTGTTGCAAGAAATGTGAAATAACTGCTTGCAGTGAACATTCTGAGTGTTCAGTACCAGCCCACAGATTTGCTTTTTCGTGACTTTTGAGAAGAAACCAATTTTAGTCACTATTGCGCCGAACAGGACCTTTGCAAGTGTGATGCTACTTTCATTACAATGATTTTACGAAGAATAACTGTGCCAATTGCTCTCGTTATGTTCGGATAGATAAACGCAAAATATCTACAGTGACTGCAAATGTTGTACTAATTTAAAATGCTGAAATTTTTATTTAGCCGATGGGAAAGGAATCACTAACGCATCCTCCAAAGCTATTCGTATAACTTGCAAGAAGTGCTTTGGAGCCGAAAACGAATTGAATACAGTAACTCCAAACTTGAATCTCAATTGCAAGATAATGGTTTAAAACCTGATAAAAAAATTAAGAAGAACTAGCAAAATTATGTAATAATGTATAATGTAGTAATGTGTTGAATGCTTGAAACTACAAAAAAAATAAACAATGAAAACTTATGAAGCATGTTTCACATTGCTCATTACAATTATTTTACGTAGTATTATTAGCGAAAACGAAATAGAGCGAATACCTCTTAGAAAAATTATTTTTCCGAAAAACGTCCAGAGAGGTCGATTTTTGATCGAAAGGGGACATCTTTTCACATAAATGTCTTGTTACAGACTCTACCTCTTAAATCTTAATAGGGCAGGAAGGTTAAACGACACATCTTTTGAAAGCTATTGTAATTCTCTACACAACCGTGTTTTATTTTTTGAATTTGACCGATTAGTTGGAGATACAGGTTGTTAATAAAAAAACCTATTTTTTACAAAATTTGCAAACTTTTCTCCATCAGCTGTGGTAAAACTGTTGATCTGTTTTAAAAACTACTTTAAATGTTTAACGTACTTAGTCGCATTTTTATGGACGGCAGCTAAAATTTGCTTTTACTGTTCGTAATAAATTGAAATAATTAATAATACTAGGTATACCTGTTAGTTAATATTATGGTTTAGTCGAGTCCAGAGTGGAAATAATTGAACTCTGTTATGAAAATATTCAGTGTACTAATAGCACAGTAGAAGTCTTTAATCAGCATCACTTGGATAAACATGTTAACAGGAAGTACATTTTGAAGTTAGTGGCAAGTTTGAGGAGAATGGATCTGTAGGTAATAAAAAGCGACACCTCGAAAGATATGAAGCAGTAGATGTGGCGGTTTTTGGACATGTTGCTATAAATTCCAGAACGAGTATGAGACAAATGGCAGCTGAATCCGGTTTTGGGCAAAACAAAATTCGGAAAATTTTGAAACATCATAAATTTCAACCATGCAAAATTCACCTTGCACAGAAACATAAAGATGACTTTGACCGTCGACTACAATTTTGTGAAATAATGAGTGAACAAGCTATTAACAATCTTGATTTTATTTTTAATGTCTATTTCCCGGATGAGTGTTGTTTTTCTGTTAATGGCAACGTCAATCGTCATAATTGTCGTTATTGGTCCGATTTTAACCCAAGCATATTTTATGAAAGTCAGACACAATATCTGGAAAAATTAAATGTATGGGCTGAAATTTTTGGTGACCGTATTATTGGTTCTTTTTTCTTACCACGTAATCTCACCGGGGAGATGTACCTGGGTTTGTTGGAGAACAACATTGATTCAGCATTGACAAATATTATCGAGAATAATGAGAATTATCTCGAAGACCAATTGATATTACAACAGGATGGAGCTCCGCTACATTACGCCTTTGCCTGTTCGGCAGTATCTTGATCGTAGGTTTGTGAATTAGTGGATTGGGGGAAGAGGCGTGCACGATCGTCGGATTTGTCTCCTTTGGACTTTTTCTTGTGGAGTCACTTAAGCTAAAAATTTATAGGGCTCCAGACGGATAAATTCGCATGAATAGTTAAATTGGATCAGGCTGCTCAAACCGTATATATTCGCTACCGTGCGCATAGTGACTCGGTTATTGCAATTGGTAAGGCGAATTTTTGCGGGCGAGCTTATACCGATTGTGACAAATATTTTTATGGAAAGAGGTACTGGTAATAGTACCAAGATTGTTCATGTTTCTTTCAGTTTCTATTTAGTACATATACTGTATTTTATTCAAAATAAACACAACATAACGTAAAACTATAAGTGGTCTAACTGCTCCAGACGTATATATTCGCACGCGATAAACAATTGCGCACGGCGCGGTAGCTACGTTCAGACGTATTGCGCAGCGAAAGGGTTAAAGTCTAAAGTTTATTTCACTTCACCTACTTCCGTTCAAGATCTACGCATAGGCATTGTCAACGAATGCCGCCCAGTTACTCCTGAAATGTTACAAAATCTGGGTCAACGGTTTTTGCAAAACTTATATTAGATACTGTTTGGAGGCTGGAGGTAATGAACACTTAATTGGCTGACATGTAGTAATTTGCAAATAAATTTTAAATAGTTTTTTTATCCATCTCCGAAACTAATAGGTCAAATTCAAAAATAAAACCTGGTTATGTAGAGAAATAGAATACCTTTCAAACGATGTGACACTTAACCCTCCTTACCCTATAAAGATTTTTGGGGGGTTGTCCCCTCTCCGGGGGGTAGAGTCTGTCACAAAAAATTTATGGCAAAAGATGCCCCCTTTGATCAAAAATCGATCTGTCTTGGCGTTTTTCGGAAAAATAATTTTCCTGAGAGTTACTGGCTCTGTTTCGTTTTCGCTGGGACACCCTGTATATATCAATTCTTTCGGAACCTTTGAGCAAAAAATAAGACTCAAAGCGAAAGGTCAACGTTGGAAAATCGAAAACGTCCATTTCGGAAGCATATCATACATCAATACAGATATTCATGTTGACATGTAGAAACATAATAGTCTATAAAAAGCAGGAATATAAATAATGCACCAACGATGAATAATATCAAACCAACGAATTGTAACCACTAGAAGGAGGTTTGGATGTATTTGTTTGCGAATGTACATAAATAAATCAGATCTTCAGGAGACACAAATTTCTATTGGTCGAATTTATATTCCCGCCTACGTCCGCATTTCGATGATTGTCGATGACATCTGTCAAAGGAAAAGTGTGTAGCCGCTATTAACGTATTTGAGTTTATTTGTGTTTAGTGTGGCATTTTCCTCTTATTGTTGTGTAGTTTTTATATATAGACATTTATTTAGTGCTAAGACATGGTTAGAAAGTGTGTTATTTGTAAAGTTTTATTTAAAAAGGGCGAGTAGCGGTCTTTTCACAGGTAAGTAAACAAGCAACATGGGCGGCGTTTCAGGATTTACATAAGGGTGTTTTACATTTAGTACTTAATTAGTAGTGATAAAATACTGACTAAATCATTATCTAAATTATTAAAAAGATATATTTTTTAATTGTTCAACTTATTTTTTCCTGTTTCAGTAATATTATAAGTATGAGTAATACCTATATTTTTTAGATTTCCTAAGAATCTGGAACTGAGAACTTGTGAAAGCTCTAGGTGATGTCAATATTACCGACAACATTTTTGTTTGTTCTGATGATTTTGCGATTAATGATTTTCTGACAAAGCCATCAGGTATAAAGTACTTGCGAGAGACAGCTATTCCAGTAATAGCTTCTCCTTATAACAGATAAAATAACTTTTATATTGATTAAAATATACAAGTAAAAAGCCTTTACAGTTACCTAGTACCTTTTTACCTTTTTATTTAATTTTTATAGATCAGACATTTCTAATAAGGAAAATTTTTCTCTAAATGATATTCCTACGGAACAGTCATTGCACTTGCCGCAACAAAAACCAGAAAATATATCAACATGTTCATCGTCATCGACACTGAGTGCTCAATAAGGCTTGTTATCTACTACAAATAAGGCTACAGATCTTTCTGAAATATATTTGAATTATGGTGAAAATATAATTAACAAATTATATATCCTTTGTACAGTATCTACAACTAATACCCTATAATTTTGCTATCTGCTTACCTATCTAATTTTTTTTATTCAGTACATATTAAAAAATACCAAGAAAATTCTACCTTGTTACCTATTTATATATTACCATTTTATTTTATATAAACACTACCGTAAGTGTTTATATAAAATACATCTGGAATAGATAATTAATCATATTTAGGAAAAAGCCTTATCCACGATAATTTGGAGAATGCCATACTTCTGACATGGATAGTTAAAAAAAAGCAAGAAAAAATTGGAGTATTTCTAAGAAAAAAATAAAAATGCAAACAATAAAGATCCAAAGTCTGCAGGAGGCAGAGTCGTCTAAAAGCCAGAATTTGTAGCCTTAATTCTCTTATGAAATTTTTGAAAAAGAAATATGTCTTAACAGAAACTGCTCAATGTATCATTCATGTAAGTTGAAAAATACTTATTCATTCTGTGTCTGTAAACAATATGTATTTTTAGGAATCAGCACCTGGAATGTTAGGTGAAATCTGTCAAGAAAGTGACAATCTCGTAAAAAGTATTCACCTGAGCTTAGGTTGTTTGCCTTAACGTTAAGCTTTTATTCAACAGATGCTTATAATTATGCAAGAAGAAGTTTTAATATGGCTTTGCCACATACAAAAACAATTTCTAAGTGGTACAGATATATTGACGGATCACCTGGATTTTCAAATGAAGCATTGGCTGCCTTTTAAATTAAAGTAAGAGAAACAAACAGTGAAATTTTGGGCAATTTGGTATTTGACGAAACGTCTATAATGCAAAGTGTTAAGTGGAATGGGAAACGATTTACTGGATATGTTGATGTCGGCACTGAAGTATATGGGGATAATATTCCAGAAGTTACGGAAGCCCTTGTTTTTATGGTTGTAGCTATAAATAGTTATTGGAAAATACCTGTTGGGTATAAACGGTTTAAGTGGTGGAGAAAAAGCAAATTTGTTAAAAAAATGTTTAGAATTTTTAAGTGAATTAGGTATTAAAATAGTTTCTGATACTTTTGATGGTGCTCCTTCAAATACCAAATTACGGCTTTACTATAAATGTTAATGTTAATATTAATAAGTAGGTAGATTGTAAGTTTGTAGCATTTTAGGTTATTTGTTGATTTATTACTGTGTCAAATTGGTTTTCTAATAAAAACTAGAAAATTAAACCAAACATTTGTCTTTTTATGATTTCTATAAGTCACTAGTGGGTTTTATAAGTCATAACTTACTAGTGACTTATGACTTATAATTCACTAGTGACTTATATGCCACATTATTCCTTTAAAACCAAAGAAATTATAGTACCATTATATACAAGTGTTGGATAAAAGCATTTAATTAATCAGTACTGATGTCAAAACAATTTGAGTATAGTAAAAACAGTTTATTAATTTTACTTAAATTTTTACCATCTCATTATATCACCAATATGTAAAAATTATTTTTAAAATGAGTAATCCTTTCAAATGTGTATTGGTATTTTGTAAATTTTAATATTTTGCCTTTTTTGACAGTACGCTACTGCCGTTGTGTCTCATTGTTTACATTTGACGCTATCTATCTTTATTTATTAGGTAGTTCTCTGTTTAGATGTTTGCTACAGTTAAAACACATGTATAAGAATACACAAAGCTCCTTCTAGTGGTTAGAATTCGTTGTATCAAACATTCAGTCTTGCTCTTAAAAAAATGTTAAACGGCGTTTTATTTCTATATTAATACCAGTTTAAGAAACGTCAACATAAAAAAAATTATTGGTTAAATCATACCGGAAGTATTCTTAATTTATAATAAACATTTCTATCACTATTCTAATAGATTACCGTCACACTAACCTGCCAGTCCTCCTGCCATTATAAGTATTTTGATGGAGTCATGAAACATTAAAGAGATGAAGTTGGATATTACATATGCAATGATTGCTGCTGGAAACGGGGGAAATACTAGTCTTCTAGCGTCGAATGGAACCTAAGGAAAGAAAGTATACCTTGAAAACTAAAGTGCACGCAGATACTTTTTAAACATGTAACATCGTACAATAATAATAAAAAATCTAAAAGCACATATTATTATAACAATAGTGGCTTTAAATCTTTTATTATTCAGTTAAATTTGACATTTGAACAATGAAATGACAGTTTCTTATTATTGCTTTGGAACAAGAATTTGAAATTAGATGATAATTCTATCTTTTCTGTCTTCGAAAACAACTACAATTTGTAACTTTTATTTATTCATTGAAATTAAATTAAAATATATACATTAAAAGAAAATCTAATTATTAAATTTTATGGTGTAACTACTAGAAATTTGTCGTTTGTCAGAAACTGTCCAGTCTAATTAGATCATATAACCTGAAACCTTAAAAAAACCATCCTATTAGTAGGTATTTTATTGCACTTTATGACGGTGAAGGATATATAGAATGATAATATCAAAAAACTAACTCGAAACTCTCGAAAGAAGTGACGCTAAGTTGGTAAATTGCAAATAAGTGTTTTTCCACTGTTTTTACTGCCCATGAAAATCTAGACGGCCAATCGGAAAATCAGTTATTTTATGATGTGGGCAATTAAATTACCTACAATTTAAGGTACTTAAAGACATATTTCACAAATTTGTTCTGTAAAATAAAAATTGCAGATTATTATTGCAAAAAGCGAGGGAATGAACAACATGCCAAAGGTCGATTCGATTGACCGTGAAAGTGTTGCTCCAGATATTTTTTAATTAATTTCGTTCCTTTTTTGCAATTAATTGCTTAATTACCAAACAATTATTTTAAAAGTTATTATCGCAAATATAGGTTCTAATTGATCCAAATGTATCGAAAAAGAAAGATGTAAAAAAGTTGAAATTAAGTTTCTCTTGAAGACTAATAAAGTAGGATGTGCAAAACAACGTTATAAATAAATTGTCCCAGGGTCAGGAAAAAGTCGCTCGGGGCATAAAGCTTATAAGTTAAATAAATAAACGGCCTGTCCACCGCACCTCGCGCGCGGCCGTTCATTATTGTTAACTTTTACTGTTGCTAGCCCGTTTACTACATGTACAACTTTTTGAAAATAAAAGTTTAATCCTTTCTTTAATTGTCCCTAAAATCCTGGTCGATACGATCCAATAGTTAATTAACAATTATCGTATAAAAAGAAAGCTATCCTGGGAACAAAGAGGCGTAGGTAATTTCTTTTTTTTAATTACCGTAAAAATAAGCTCTATGTTATGTAAAAAGAGTGAATTCGCGAGCGGCTTTTGCCTGACCCTGGGACAATTTATTTATAACGTTGTTTTGAACATCCCACTTTGTTAGTTGTAAAGAGCAACTTAATCTCAACTTTTTGAAATTTTTCTTCTTCGATACGTTTCTTTGGATCAGTTAGAACCTATATCTACAATATTAACTTCTCCAGTAATTAAACATTGAGTTGCAAAAAACGAACGAAATTAATTAACAAATACCTGGAGCAACAACTTCACGGTCATTGGAATCGGCCTTTGGCACTCATATTGGTATTTGGGTTGACCATCTTTTCCAAAAGTTTCAACAACTTCCAACGCTTTTTGCAATAAAAATATTTTATTCCTGCACTTTTTCTCAAAAATGCCTCCTTATAGAGTTATAGCCATTTTTAACCTATTGTGAGTATTATTAAAATGCCTATAACTCCCCAAAGATGCATTTTAGAGAAAAAAATGCAGAAACAAAAAGTCAATTTGAACCAATTGGTGCAACAAACTAATAAAAAGAATATATCAAGAACCGTAAACCTATCTAAAGGAAAAAACATAGCAAACGGAAATGCGGGTATGCCGATATTGTAAAATTAATGTGGACAGGCGTGTTAAATGTAATTGGGTTAGATATGCCTTTAGAACAAAGTTGCTTCGTTTGCGAGTTACAGGATATTAAAAGTTGATACTAAAGAAACTGTTTTTGTTTGTAACTGTAAAACCAATAAACCAATTATCTTCTAATCGTTGAGATTATGAAAAGCCACTCTGTAAGAAATTCGACTAGACAATTCCCAAACTCCATTTTTCTTATACGAGGATCGTGAGTTACAGCTGCTAATCCAAAGACTTGTCTGCTTAGGTATTACAGAGGCAATGAGGACGACCCCAACTGCCGCGTTAGAGGTCTTTCTGGGGCTGCCGACCCTTCCTACATGGATTATGAGGGAGGCGATGGCGGCATACCTTAGGATAAGGGACGCAGGTGGTTGGAGAGCGAAAGGACGCACTGAGGGCCATGCTGCCGTGGCCCCCAGGGCGGAAAGGGACATCCCAATATCCGCCATGAGGGTTACGGAAGCAGAGGACCAGCTTAGGTTAGGAAGGAAGTATGTCACCACTTTCCCGTCGAGAGAGCAGTGGAAGCAGGATGGTGATATGTTCTCCCCGGGATCCCTAGTATGCTACACTGATGGATCTCGGGTAGAAGACGAGTTTTCAGGAGCAGGAATTTATCTGGTAGGCAGCGGCATCCAAGAAAGCTTTTCACTGGGTATGTATGCTACAGTCTTCCAGGCCGAGGTTTTCGCTATTTTGATGGTAGCAAGCAAGGAAGAGGTAAGGATTTGTGCAGAGGAGAAGATTTTTATCTGCTCCGACAGTCAGGTCGCGTTCAGAGGGGTTAGCTCCCCGATGACTATGTCTGCCCTTGTCCAGGAATGTGGAGACGCTCTAGAGTCATTGGCCAGACGAAGAGAAGTAGAGCTCGTTTGGGTCCTAGGTCATATGGGTATCCCTGGTAACGAGAGGGCGGATCAATTAGCCCGTCTCGGGTCCAGGGGACCTGGCCAGGGACCTGAACCAATCTTAGGTATCACACGAGGCAGCATTAATGGGGCCCTCAATAAATGGGCCTATCAAACTTTAGGTCAGAATTGGAGGAGAAATAGAGGATGTAGGCAGGCCCATAGTTTTATACATGGACCTAGCAAATCCAAGACGAGATGACTGCTGAGCCCCAGTCGAAGAGCCCTAAACCAAATGGTGGGGGTTCTGACAGGTCACTGCAGACTTAGGAGGCATTTAAGTTTAATAGGAATTGAGGAGGATCTTCTATGCCCGAAATGTGGAGAAGGGGAGGACACCCCTGTCCACTTTCTGGGACATTCTGCAGCCTTTGGGAGAATAAGACATAAAGTCTTTGGTGCTGAAGAGCTGCAAGGGCTTGAGGTGAGAGACCTCCCATGGACCAAAATCCTGGCGTTCATTAGGGCGTCGGGTAGGTTCGAGGAGGGTCAGAAGCAGAGAGTGGTTAGGTGATGGGACGGCGGGGTAGGCAAAAAGGGCCCACTTGTGGCCTAATTGCCAGCTGAGGCCGCCCCTTTACTACTACAGCTGTTAATATTCCGAACAGAGACACAAAAACATTAAATATAAAATAGCTATCAAATTGGGGTATGTTTATGATGAGAAAATCAGAATTTAAGTATCGTCAGTTGTTTTCGAGAGAAACTTAATTCAAGGCATATCGATCACCGTGTATGTAAACCAAAAAAATTTGCTTTCATTTAATTGTAAAACGTCTAAACGAGAACAATCACGGTTGAAAACATTGGACGACATAAGCTTTGGTCTACATTGGAATCTCGCTCTGTAGGCATCGTATAAAGCATAGGGGTTGACCTAGTTTTCCTAAACTCATTCTGTTTACTATAACCATCACTGATGTTATCTCAAACGTCTATTCTGCCTGGATTCAAGAAATAGTAAGTATGTAATTCTATTTAAAAATCTATTATAGTAATTGATTCTTCATCTGAAGAGTTTATGATATTTATCGCTTTCTAGTAACCTACAGCAGTTTGCGTTAATAACTGATGATGCCTGTTTATCTTTCTAGAAATTGTAGAATATAATAAGATCTCTATCTTGTAGCTGTTTACTCTTATAAGAACTTACTCATCACATTGAGCAAATAGTCTAGAGAGTAGGTATAATCTTTAGAAATGTCTCACTGAATTGATTCTTATCATTGTGATACACCGTATGAATCACTTGAATTTAGACAATATTTGGAATCTTTGTATAATTACTAATAAAACGCAATTAATATTTTCTTAATCCCGTTTATAGGGACAATATTTTTTATCAAGGTAGGTATAGTAGATATTCGTCGCTAGAAATATTTTTTTGATATAATGTTGTGTTGTAAGTATACAGTCATAATAGTAATAGCTTGACAGAAACAAATTAGGACATTCTATTTTATGACAGAAAGGGTAATAAATGTGCATTAGAATCAACATTGGAAAATTCTGATTATTTTTTATATGTAATAAAATCTGTTTTGATATTTATCTTATCTTCAGTTTTCATAAAATCGTACGTACAACTGTCAAATAAATATGTCAGACTCTGATAGTTGAATCAGACGTTAAAACTTAGATAAATTATGTAATATGGTAAAAATATTGACTTTAAAATGTTGACTTATTTAGTTAATTATTATTATATTTGCATTCATGTCTTTGATATGAATAGTTATCAAGCAACGCTTATCGTGGGTAGTACTTGAATGGGTGATCATCCTAGGACGTCTCGCGATGCTGGTCCACCATCCAGTGGCCCGTATGTCGGTGTATTCACAGGAGCTATACAGATTTAGGTGAGGTTTGTATAGGAAGACATACCATCCCTCGCAGAGGATGTAAAACTGTTGGTGCCTTGTCTAAACAATGTTAGGATAGTAAAAAATCTCTACCCTACGACAAAGTGGGGGTTCGGCAAAATTGCCAGGTTGTGGGATGCTCGTCTCCTGGTGTCGGGGTTTAGTCACGGTAGCAGAAATAGACCGACGTAAAATAACCAAAAAGATAAAGTTAATATTTTAATACAAAGAAAAATAATAGACAGTAGGATAAAAAATCTAATCTTTGAATGAGATGTGCATTTAAAAAACAAAATTCGTCCATGCAAGTGGCATGGACGAAGGCAGAGGAGGGCAAGAGCGGGTAGTTGCCCTTTCCCTAGCAAAGTGTGACGAAAGATCGTAATTTGATAAACTTATTTGTGGCCGACCAAATTTAAAAAATATGTATTTTGCCGAAATAAATTAAAAATTCGTTTTGACAAAATTGTTTCTAGCACGACTGGCTGGCACAATGTGATATTTCAACAATCCAGCTACACTTAATTAAAAATATTGGGTATTTGTATCAACCTAATATCAAGACATTCACATAATAGGTATCAAAGTACAAGAAAACGTCATTATTTTATTAGGTGACATTAAAAATAATATACACTGTGATTCACAAATGGTGACAAAACAATGAAATCTTGTATTCTTTGGTGAATTTTAATGGAAGTCTTAAGTATAAAGTTTTTATCTAGTCTTAAAAAGATACAGGGTGTTAAACTTAAAAAAATATTAGTAATTTTTTTAAATAATTTAAACTAGTAAGTGAAATAATTTGAAATTGGGCATATGTATTTATGTAAACATTGTTCAAAATCTGAGGCTTTTTCCTAAAATTTATATGCTCCATTGACGGAGATACAGGGTATATTCGATTTTTTCAGTTTTACTCGAAATCAGTTTTTTTTCGAAAAACGTAAGAAGGTAGTAAATTGTAGAAAACTGAAAGGCAAATCCGAAAATATCATGATTGTTACCATAAAGCAGTGGTGTAGGTACTATTTTATTTAGAAAAATATGTCGACAATACCCTGTATCTTCGCCACTGGAGCATCTAAATTTTAGAAAAGGCCTCGGATTTGAGACAATGTTTAGATAAATACATGTGCCCAATTTCAAATTACTTCACTTACTAGTTTTTAAATCATTTAAAAAAATTAAAAATATTTTTTAAGTGTAACACCCTGTATCTTTTTAACGAATCGTCTTAGATAAAAACTTTATACGAATGGCTCCCTTAAAATTCGCCAAATAATACTAGGTCTCATTTTTGGTCACCGTTTGTGAATCACCCTGTATATTGTATTAATACCCTAACGAATGAACAAAGGTCTCATTGCAATAAAGCATGTATTCGTTTCACTTCCTTTCAATTTAGAAGTTCTAATTTTATTAAGGTTAAAAATATCCATTTTATTTATATTAATAATTTAGTTTTGTAAATGTTTATCTCTATTTCCATTTTTCTTTTGTATGCCAGAGAAATTCTTGTTCTAGGATTTTGCTCCGTATTATTATATATAAATGTTTTTATTTTTACTTTTTAAGAAAAAAGATTGAAATATTCTCTTCCTCTCCTTTGTAAAATTTTTTGGCTACTCCCATGTATAGGGGCTTCATTCACAGTCAAGCAAAATTTCTGTATATATACAGCATATTAGTCTTATCTTGCTATTATTTTGAAATTAACCTAAAAGGATTTAAACGACTTTAGCAAAATAATACACGAAATTTAATCCCATTAATTGAAGCACGCCTAAAAATATTGTATACGTAAATGTAAACAATCACTTCAATCTTCTTATCTATGATCCCTTAATTTAGATGATATCATATATGTACATGTATTTGTTCACGTTAACTATTATCACTATAATTACAGTAGGTACGTACGATATTTCTAGAGATAGAATTCCAAGAAGACCCCTGCGTAACTTTCTTGGAATTAACCGCATTCGACACCCGAGGCAGAAAGACATTGGCGGAAAATTACAAAGCTGCTGCAGTGAATTGTTACAGCTGTTCCGATAACAGAACATTATTGGCTTATTATTTTCTTGGAATTCTAACCTAACAAATATTGTACGGACTGTGATAATAACAATCAATTTACATAAGTTATATAATAACTTTCAAATGCACAGCGTCATAGAGATGCATTTAAGTAAATATCCAAATACTACATTAAAAAATTGAAAATGTTCCTACTAGCCAACGCTGTTTCTGAAGTTTAATGATGTGGAGTAGAAAAGAAAGTAACGCTACGCTACGACTGGCGTAGATACTATTATACAATCAGTGAAATATCGTTCTGGAAAAAATTAGGCTTACTTACTTTATGATGTAATCCGTGAATTGCGAAATGTAAATAAATCAGAATCTTCGAATGGCCGGACGGCTCCATGTGAAACACCCACCTGTGAAGGGAATATTCCACGAAGGTCCAAACAAGCGCTCCTAATCCTATGTATAATACTGTTGATATAATTGGTGTTGGATCTAGAACGAATAAAATACACGTTAATAAATTGGTATAACGTAAAAAAATTGAGTAAAATTTCAATTAAACTCAACACAATTTTTTGTTAGGACCCGTTGCACATCCAATTGTGTTGAAACAGTATTCGTTGAGTAATGTTCACTCAACTATTTGCTAGTTAAATAAACTTGCTAAATAATGTCTGTCATATTGGTATACCACACCAAATAATAATCAAAATCATTTTTTAGTTACAACTAAGTAAACGTATTTGTTGTCTGATAGCACTGTGCGTCGCGTCGGTTTCTGATTCCACAGAATTTTGCGTTCCTCTACTCAGAAATGTATAGTGCTAACAACGAATGGAGTGATTTTTTCTCAGTTTGTTCTCATTTTAACATTATTTTAGTTCTTCTAACTAAAAATTGCACTGATAAACTCATTTTTTTTGTTAAATTTATTAGTAATTTTTAAAATAATTTTACTCGTAAATAATCTTGAATTTTCGCCATGTTATTTTACATATACGAGGTTTAATAAAAAAGTACCGGAAATTGTTAATTTTCTCAGAAAGTATTTATTTAATCTTCAATTTTTATCCCATTGCTTCATGACGCAATTTGATATGAAGTGGTGGAAGAAGGACTTTTTATGGGCTAACTAGGGGCACGTTTATTATATTTTTGGATCCAGGTTTGAAAGCAACTCTAGGTGACCAGACGCTCTATACATAATGCTTTGGCATAAAAAAGCAAGGGGTGTTTCTAATTCCTGATTGTTGGCCAAGTATGATCGCGATTATTTTGAGATCCCCTCAAAAATGCCATTTATGTTCTTTACCTTTATCTTGGTTCATTAATACCGAATGTGGTATAGGACTAGCTGCATAAACATTTGTATTATGCAGTAGAACAGCTTTTATACTTCTTTTTGATGAAACAATAAATAGCCTCCACTCTTTGGATTTATAACATCATCATGTGATTCATTATTTAATGTAATATCATCACAGTAGACTAAGGAGAATTCCTTATGGAAAGAGAAATATTTTCGAAATTCCTTTTCTCTGGCATGGTAGTAAGATTTTATTCTTTCAGTCTGCTTAGTACTGTTTTAGCCATGGTGCAGGGAATATATTAAATTTGTTACGCTCTTTTATTTTTGTTTTTTTTATTCGTCCAATACAAATCGGTATTACAAAAATAACCTCTTCTTCACAACGAGGATTTGTCGATTTGACCTTGAAATAATGTTGACACTGACGCATGACGTGATGGATTCGGAATCAGTAACCCCAAAAACTCCTTTAACATAAACACATTTTGCAATATTTGTATTCCTTTGTATTCCTTGTAAGCATAAAGAAATATATTAAAATATTCCAATATTCAAAAATTTTTTTTCTCGGAAAATTTGCTTCTAATCGAAAAATTGATAGACATTTTTTACTTAAAATTTCATGTGGAATTCGACAATATTTTTTATTTTTCAATATTTTAAAATTTTTAAGATTCGATTCGTCATATTGAATTTTGAAAATCTAACGTTGGATTTGGAATCAGGAACCCCAAAAACGTGCAAGAATGGTAAAATTTTTTGCATTAACTTTTTTCTTGATATGACCTTGGATTAACCTTTGGGCTGACCTAATCAGATTAAATGGACTTCAGATTCGGATTCAAGATTCAACGACCCCAAAAATATGTAGACATCATGGTCTTGTATTTCGGACCAGGTACTTTTTTGTGGTGCTGTGATATTGTTACGACCTACCCCTGGTCGCACTGGGATATACTCCACTTCAAAGTAGTCCCCATGCTATGCCAGCATAGTTTCCAGTTTGGGAAACTCTTGTGGAAAGCCTATTTAGGTATCGTCTTGATCAAGGCTTGCGATTTTTCTTTTATGTCATCAATTGTTGAAAAACATTATCCTTTGAGTATCCTTTTGAGCTTGTGAAATAGGAAAAAGTCACAAGGGTTATGTCCGGACAATAGGGTGGTTTCGGCATCACAACGGTATTTGTTTCGCCAAGAACTGTTGGTGCAAAATCCACGAGTTGTCCCTCGTGTTCTTGTCGTTTTCTCCTGATTGCATCAAGCAAATTGCGTAAAACTTTCAGGTAGTACTCCTTATTAACTGTATGACAGGGCACTAAAAATTCGTGATAAACTATTCCATTGTAGTCGAAGAAACCTGTTAGAAGGACCTTCACATTTCACCAGGTCTCGCCTCATCTTCGATGTCTTCTTGGCCTTCCTGAAAACATTTGTACCATTGATATCATGGCTATGACATAGTATCGTCATCGTTCTGTTACTTTTTGATCACCCCTCGTATGCATTTAGAAGCAAAATTTCCCATATGTTTTAACCAGGATAATTTTCTAGTTACAAGATACTTTGCTAGTACTTGGAGACATACAGACCTGAAATCATTTTTGGATCATCAAGACTAGATAAGGAAGCAAATCAGATTTTTATTGAAAAAAACGGTACGCCCTTCATTTTTGTTGAGAAAAAAAAGTAAAATGGTTCATTTAGTGAATTTTAGGTTTCAATATCTTTTTACTCTCGCGAAGTAATAGGAGAAAGTAACCATCATTTTTCAGATTATTTGTCAGAGAAAATATAGTACCGGTTTCAAAATATACGTGCCTTTAGTAATTCCAGGGAAATACCCCTGCACTTAAAGACCACTTTTGAAATCGGAGTAACCTACAAAGTTTAGAAAATGTAGTGCCATTGAAGGTGTAAATAGATTAAAAATATATTTGAATTTTGGTATGTTTCTTTAAAATATACTGGCTTTAAGAAAATAACGTACCATTTCTGGATCCAAGATTATGATATTGGTGTTATGGATCGGTCAGCACAAGTCTAGACATCAATTCCATTGAACATGTCTGAGATATGTTGGGAAAAGAATTAAGAGATTATCCGAATCTTTTTAATAATACGGAAGGCACGAGACATGTTGTTGAAATATGGAAGGAATTGGATCAAAACGACATTGAAACAATATTTTTGAATTCGAGGGTGTAATCCGTAACAGAGGTGAAAATACCCGTCAAATTATTTGAAAGTATAGTTAGTTTCTATATAAGAAATTGCAATTTTAAGAGTTTTAAATTTGTTATTTTGAATGTACCTAATAATAAGTTACCAAATATATTTTGATGGTGCGTTGATTTTTTGGAGCAGTGTAGTTTTTGATAAAATTAAGTCTAGTGACAATTTTCATATGGATATCAATAATATTGTACTATTTATTTAATATTCATTTATGCAGATATTTAATTGTTTTCAAAATATGTTATATGTTAATATGTATTTATAATTTCAGTTGGAAAGCAAGTTTTGACATTTCTCATGTTAGGAAATATAAAATACAAATGCACAGTCAGTTCTATTTTAGTAACCTGAGAAATTATAACTTATACATTTTTTGATTTTATCCACACTTAATGGAGTAACACCATTAGCTGCAAGCCATAACTGCTGTAATGATGAATATATTGCATGTCATTTTTATACCGGATGATAAAACATGTTTATTTTTCATAAAATACTTTGACGTAATTATATAATTACTATGGAAAGGCAGCCAGCCAACAACATAATCTTGATTTGATACTGATAGATAAAACAATTCACTATTTTTCTACTACATGCTGATATTTATAGGCTTTGGCTTCATCACTTATTGCTTCGATTATTGATTATTTATTTGTCCTTTGGCATACGGATAAATAAAAATAGTCGCTTGACAAATTTTGAATTACTTTCGTTATCTAGTTCGAAAATAAGAGAAATAAAAAAGAATACCTACTCTTACTACTTTTTACAAATATACTTTATTGATGTATGAGTATAAATTCGGATTAATAAAGTAAAATAGAAAATATTGGTAAATGAAAAATTAAACTACTTGTATGATACTACTACAAACTCATATTTCTCTCTAACATATTAAAAATTGTTATCTGTTCAGAGTTTACCTTGAATTTATATAAGCCTCATTAATGTAATTACATTTCCAATTAATTGTGGATCATTATATAAATTGTAATTACAAAGAAATGAGAATGAGTGTTCGTGTTATAAAATAACTATTGTATTTCGTAGTACGTATTGATTACTAATATAATGGTAAATATGAAGGAATACATTTGTGTGCAAGGAAAAAGGCGAATTGTAGCTACAGCCATAACAGAATTTAGTACAAAGAATTATACCTACTAGGAATACTAAAATCTTATCTCTTTACATGTATTTGAAATTTAAAGATAATTGTTTACTTATTCGAAATTTTCAAGAACTAACAAAATAAAAAAAGATTGTATAGTAAAGAGGTTGGAGATTGAAGCTGTTATCAACTATTTCGATCAGTTCCAGTTGCTATCATGAATATAGTTGCAATTTGTCGTAATTTTTTATGTTTACATAATCTACCTTTTTATAATATGACTTGGTCTTTTATTATAGAAACTACAGTTTTTTTAAATATTCCATATGCATGAAGTTCCCATTTGGTACATTAACAATTTGATATAGATGATATTTTATGACAAAGTAAACGAAGCAAAAGGTTTGAAAGAACAAAAAGGTTTAGAAGAACAATGCTTGACTTCATTTGATGGGATTTAAAAAAAAACAATTTATTTGAATTAGTTTTAAAAAACATATATTTTTTTACCAACTCTTGCATATTTTCTCCGATAATAATAATAATAAGACAATTTAAGCAAAATCATTATTTCAATTAAACCCTTTACAAATGAAGTCAAACAAAATTCTTGGATACCAGAAATTTAGGTATGCAAAAGATATCTAACCCCACAGATAAGATTATGAACTGTTGATATTACGGGAAACAACTATTCTATGTGGTATATATCCCGACTAGCATTGAATCACAACAATACCTAGTTAATAGCTAATAATAAATAATAATAATTATCCAAAATGGTCAGATCTTTATATTCTCATGTATCTTGATCCGCTTGATTTTTCCCATCAAGTCATAAATCCTTTCTAACCTTAAAAAACTTAAAAATCCACAAAATTAAAAAACTTCTGTGATCCAGGTATGATTTAACAGCAACTGAACATCGTGGTCACGTGGTCTGATCTATGTACTCCCGTATATTTTGACCTGCTGAATCCGAATTCGATGTCAGAATTGTCCCAACAAATCATCAGAATTTTCTTTCCTGAAAAGATAGCTTAAAATCGATAATATTCTCGGACTTTATAATGATAAGGCTACAAATACCATGAATTCAGTTTTATACATATAAAGTTTCTTGGCATCCGGTTATAAACGAACAGAAAGGCTTTAAACGTAACAAAACCTAAGGCATTCAGTTATAAACGCAGTTATAATGCTTTCTGCGTATCTGAACCTTAGGCTTTGTTAGGTTTAAAGCCTTTCTGTTCGTTTATAACTGGGCACCAAGAAATTTTCTCAACAGGCGTTGAGATCTCTATGGGTAACACTGAATTCATGGGAATAACATATTTTTGCATTATTTGTAGAGAATATTAGCGGGACAATTCTGACATCGGCTTCGGAATCAGCGGGTCAAAATACACGGAAATACATACCTAGATCAGGCCACGATTTTCAATCGCTGTTAAATTATAGAAGCTTTATTAATTTTTATTAATTTTGTGGAAATTTAAGCTTCATTAATGTTAGGAAGGATTTATGACTTTATGAGCCAAACCTGATTCGTATTCAGCGGGTCAAGATACATAGGAATATAAAGATCTGATCACTAGTTTCAGCCGCTGGTAAATCATACCTGGATTTTAAATGCTGATTTGTCGATTTTGTGGGTTTTTAAGCATTTTTTGATGTTAGAAAATTCTGGTGATTTGCTGGGGCAATCCTGACATCGGATTAGGATTTAGCGGCACAGTACATGAGAATGATGTATTCTGGTCATTTGCACAAGACTTTTTTTTGTGGAGCTGTGTAATTAATACAATAACACACATTGTAATAAAAAGTGTGGTAAAATTCCTCGAACTGTCCATGGTAACCTGTTGCCATGGATTGTCCAAGTAAAATTCATGTATCGTTTATGTAATATTAAATAAAACCTTGAAAATGGATTATAAATGCATGCATTTTACTCGAACATTCCATGGCAATAGGCTGCCATGGAAAGTTCGAGGAATTTTACCATACTTTTTATTACAGTACATTTTGAATTTGTTTTTTTTTAAAGGACAAATATTCCTTTAGACAGAAAATCAATTATAATCCGTCTTCAATGCTTTCTGACTTTGTCACACAATTGACGTGGAAATAAAAAACTCATTGAAGTAGCTGTTCTTTTCCGTGATTATCTTAAAGTAGAGTAAAAAGTATGAGAGCTAATAATAAAACATATATTTAAAAATATCTGTATCTCGGTCGTAGTATATTTTCTAAACAAAGTTTTCTTGCTTGTTTTTGCCTAAAAATGATCTCACTTCCTAATGGGATACTCTGTACATTATTTTTCTTGTTAAATATTTCTTGTTATTCTTGGTTATTCGTTACTTAAGATATTATAAGATAAATAGTGACAATAATAATATAGAAAATAATGCTCACCTTTGGTAAATTGTATGTATTTCTGAGTACCAGAATAAATAAAATATATGATGACTGGAATCCACACTAATGGGACGACGTACCAAGGCGTTATTGTCAGACTTTCTAATATTGGATTGCTGAATAGTCTAAGATGTCTGTCCACTGGAGAACTCACCCACTCCTTGTAACTGGTACCTAGACTTGCAACTTGGCTGAGCATTGGTTTGTCCCAATCAACTAAATGCTAGAAAAAAAATCACAAACTAAGTTTCATACTCGAAGTTATTCTCTACTAGGATGCTTGGGTAATTATTGTCGATTATGTCAAAACACCAAACCATTTTTTATACAAATATAACTGTCATGTCATTCAATTAGCTACGTTATCTATGAAAGAGATCAACTATTATTTACGTGGTTACTATCTGCATTTAAGGTTTGGTCACCTATTTATCTGATCTTCGATTTTGTTATAAAATCAAATTGTTAAACAATTTCTTTTTATAATGACTTTTTTATTTAAGTTTTCGTGATTTATCATATTTCTTTCGTTTTTAATGTGTACTGCATAGTAGGTAATGCGTAATATCGTTAAAGGCTAAATAAATTATGCACTCTATTATAGCTTTCTTACTGCAAGTTCAATAGTTGATTGTTAATAGAGTATTTTTTTCTTTGTATTGTTTTTATGCTTTTTGTACCTAAATCTAAACTACCTAAAGGCTTTTACCCAATTTTATTTATCATACGTTGAAGTTCAAAGCCCGGTAAACATGTTTTGATATCACTTTCGTGTTTACTGGATGAAATCTTAACTCCATTAACTGAGTACTTGATGTAATGATTAACAAAAATAAATTACATTTGTTGTAGATAAAGAGACACTAAGTAGAGTTTCTTGTATTTATCATGATGTTAATAAGAACAACAGTTAAAATGTGTAATGTTACTCATTTTTCACATAAACATAATTTGAAAAATATTAAAGCAGACCATAGGTGTAAAAACAATATTGACTGTAAACATTACATTTGTTACAGTTCGCATGATTTGTTGGGATAGAATTCCAAGACGACCCCTGTGTCAGTTTCTTGGAATTAACCGCATTCGACACTCGAGGTAGAACGACATTGGCGGCGTGGCGTTCATCGTAGCAGATTGCAGTGCATACTGTGTTTTGCAGTTACGAAGGCGTGTTTCTTCGTAAGTGTATCGTCATGTGCATTTGCACTTCTTATTAAAATAAAAGAAAGGAATTTAATTCCCAGGCGAAGAGTAAGTATGGTGTTTAACATGTATACCTAATTATTTTAAGACAATTTTTCCATATCAAGTAGCTACTACAGAGTATCTTTAGCCACTATAGGGAGAATCTTAAGTGAAAGTGTCGAGTTATAACCCCAAAACAATGGTGATGGTGAACAAGGTAGCAAAGAAAAATGTTTTATTTCAATTAGAAGCTGTGAAAACACTGACAGAAGAAGAATTCTCATCTGTTACTGTCGAAGACTGAATGAAAAGTTGGCAACTCGTTAAGGTTGAAGGTAATTTCATGCAAAACGATATTGGAGTTGATGTGGAAGACTTGATTACAACAGCTTCCGATAGTGAAAGTTCTAGTGACGAAGATGATTTTGAAAATTTCTCAAACTGTAGTAGTAGGTTACTTAAATAGGTGCATGCTTCTTTCTTTACTTCTTTTTTTTGTACTAGCGTGTTTATAATTGTTTTATCTTGTACTTTATTTACGATTTGTACCCTACTGTACTGCAAAAGAAATAAAAACATATTTTAATCCAAAACATCTACTTTATATATACTTAATTATATTTACGTTATACATATTTCAATATACTGAAAAATAACGCGGAAATTTTTAAGGCACGCCCCTGCCGCGGTAAATTGTTACAGTAGTTCTGATAACAGAGGCGTCGCTACAGCAAAACCTTAATTTCAACGAAGGTGTTCAAAATTAGTTCCTTGAATGTCTGGGCCGCATCCTAATCTTATATAAAAATGTCTTCTAACGTTTTCCAGCATATGAGACGTGACCGACCCAAATAAGTTTTAATATCTTCTTTTTAATTGAAAATGTTGAAAAAGAACACTGAAATTGTTTTTTATACGACTGCCTTGCAAAAGGGGGTTTTGCGCACGGAAAACGGTATTTTGCACACGTCGTGTGCTAAACATTTTGCACACGGTTATGTCATCTTTGCACACGCGTCTCCAGATTGTGATTTTTGTTTGATGTTGTCACCCAAATTATGCAATGTTTCAAGTTGGCTGAGTTTCATAGCAACCGTCACGGCTCCTTTATTTTGTTGATTAGATACTTCAAAAATTGTTGAATTCCCGAAGTTTGGGTGTGAAAATGTGTGATTCTGAAGAGATTTTACAGAAAGCAAGCGAAATATGTTCGGAACTGCTGCCCACAAAATCCAGAAGCAGGTATGAAGCTGAGTTAAGCCGATTTATGGACTGGCGACTAGCCAAAAATGTCCAAACTTTCTCAGAAAACGCAGTAATGGTGTATTTTGAAGAACTATCTAAGAAATATAAATCTTCGACGTTGTGGACGATTTTTTCGATGCTCAAGTCAACGTTAAGTGCCAATCACAACATAGATCTTGGAAGCTATAAAAAGTTGCAAGCGCTAATCAAACGAAAATCCGAAAACTACGTCCCAAAGAAGTCCCAAATCCTCACAGAAGATGATTTTTGCCGGTTTTTGACGAAAGCATCAGACGACAAATATTTACTTATCAAGGCGGTGGTGGCAGTTGGACTATCTGGGGCATGTCGAAGGGAGGAATTATGTTATCTCAAAATAGAAGACACCAAAGATTTCGGCAGTGCTATGCTGATTAAACTGAAGAATACAAAAACAAAGGTACCAAGGTGTTTTACAATTACAGGAAACCTTTACACTATCTTAAAAAAGTACTGTGCTCTTCGTCCTCCTAATCTGAAGACAGGCAGGTTTTTTTTAAACTATCAAAACGGAAAATGTTCAAGCCAAAACGTTGGCATCAACAAAATTGGAAACATGGCTAGGGAAATCGCCAAGTTTTTGATGCTAGAGAATCCAGAAAGTTACACGGGACATTGTTTTCGGCGTTCATCGGCCACAATTTTAGTCAATTCTGGCTCAAATCTGCTTGCCCTCAAACGCCATGGAGGGTGGAAATCCAGTACAGTTGCCGAAGGCTACGTTGATGACTGTTTGAGAAATAAAATGGAAGTTTCGAAAAAGATAGAGTCTTCAGTGTCTTCTGCTGCCACAGAACCAGAACAACGATCGTCTACTGGAATACAACAAGAAAACAACGACCGCACGCTGAAAAACTGCACTAAAAACACGACACCAAAAATATTCTCTATTACCGAAAACAAGGTGCACAATAATACTGCTTTTCCCAGCGTAACCTTGAAGGAATGTTCAAATGTTACCATAAATATTAAATATTAGTTTCTTTTGTTAATGCGTTAGCAATTTTCTTAATAAAAACGAGTTAAATTAAAAGTTGTAGTTAATTTATTTTGTTAATGCGTTGGCAATTTTAGTAATAAAAACGATTTAAATTAAAATTTGATTTTTGTGGTCTCTGTTTGCAGTCGTATAAAAAGTATCGTAAAAAACTCGTTTGAAAACCTCTTTGCACACTCGCTCGTGTGCAAAGAGTCGTTTTCAAACCTTGTTGTTTAATATACTATTGCTAGCCTGCAAGAACAAAACGCTATTTTTATATTTTCGTTTGTTGTAACAAATTTCGTTAAGCAGATTATAAATTTTTGCAATAAATATTAAAACCATAGCATTTTTGAATAGGCAATGAAAATCACTTTCAAAAGAGGTATCACAAGCTCCTACTTCTCATTTAAAAATTTAGGGGTTGCAACTGACACTCGAAGAGGGTTGAATTTGGGAATGAAAACGTTGCAACATTTCAGAATCACAATCACTGTGTTTATAAATGTGCACAATAATTAAAATATTGAATTTATTCCATTTGGCTGTTCCACACTGTATACGTAATATGGTTTATTTATTTAGTTTGACATTTAAAATAGATTTGTATTTTAATTATCGTATATTAGAGAATTGAGCATTAGTTAATTATTAAAATATTGGTAGAGTAACAATTTCAGAAGACCTTGAACTTTTATGTAATCAGAACATCTACGTTTCTTATTCAGAAGAACAGTTGTGTTTTTCATATTACCTTCTCATATAGAAGGGCGCTGATTTCCATTATTTCATTACAAAACAAAATATTGGAATCTTTGAATATTATTTTACTGATTAATACAAGCATGAACCAAATATAAATAACGGAAATTTAATTTAAAAATTCAGATTAATTGCGGTACAGCTCTGTGAATTTCAGAATGAAATCATGGATATACAGAGTGTCCGGAAATGATGCCACAAAATCCTGAAACATTTTTTCGAAAACTCAAAATTAGCGGAGTTGCAGAGCTCCAATGCAAACTTTTTGAATTATTTTTGTTTAATAACATAAAGCAGTGACTATAACAATATAGTCACTGCTTAAAGTTATCAAAGTATTTGAAATCAAACGCTTTTGTTTCCTTAGAAACAAGATGACAAGTTATTAGAAAAACATATTTTCTTTGACGCTCTGTAACTCCGCTAATTTGAGTTTTCGAAAGAAAGTTATAGCATTATGTAGCACTAAGTTTTCTGATATAATTAAATTACCCCCCCCAAATAATAACGCATCATTTCCGAGCATTCTGTATGTAAACGCAATCTCACCACGAAGATCTTTGCAGAAAAATTTGTTGTCTGACATCATCTGTTGCGCAAAGTTTTTTGTTAAAAGCTACGGCGAAATAATGTTCAACTTTTTATTTTATCCTTAAAGGGATTTGTAACACTTTTTAGAAAATATTCTCGATATGTACCTTGTATATCGGATCTTTATACCTTTATATCTATCATTCTATCCATTGGAGTGTATATCATTTTGTAAAAGCATTTTGTTTGGCCATATTCATAGTTACAGATATTATCCAAAACTTTTATAATCGTCAGTAACAGAATCGTGAAAACACAATAACTCCTTATTTATTTAACATTGACTATTAATATCATTTTGAGTTTTGTCCTCATACATCCATCGTTGTATTTCTATTTATCATTAACGTCCATTTCCTTTTCAATTAATTCGTTCAGAATTAAATAAAATGATGTAAGAAAATTACAGACTGTCATGAAAGAATTTGGAACAAACCGACCGAAAAGTAAAATATTGACGTAAGTCGACAACATAATATAATTTATTTTGGGTTGACGTATTTGGCTAAGTGGCATTTAAAGAAATACTTAATATAATAATAATAAAATTAGGCCTGAAAATGTCGAGTCGAATTATTGTTGACAGTTTAGCGAGGCGAAAATATTTACTGATTAAAATGAATTAAATTATTTTAAATTTAAAAAAGAATGTTTTACTTTTTACACTTTTTACGCTTTTACCTTCAAATCATGACATCATAACAATTCTATTATTAACTAATCTTTCTAGTTTTCCATCTTTATTTTCGTTATTAAAAACTGTTACTAATTTTCTATACAGGGTGTAAGAAGTTTGACTGCCATTACTTCAGTATGAGATAGAGTAATCATAAATGAACAAAAAAGTTGTATATTACAGGGGGGTAAGATTAACAGTTTTCAAAATACAGCGAGTATTAATATTGGGGAGTTTCATCACAACGTGACAACAGCGCTTAACTTAACGCTACACGGCTGATGCAGACCACTTGTGCATGCGGCACACTTCTCCTGAAATAACAAAAATGTAAACAACTATTATTGTGAAACATTTAGTAAATCTCAAGACAATAAATAAAATAAAATGTAGGTATCGATTTTGTAGTACGAAGATAGTGTTGTGCTTAAATTTTAGCTCGAATTTTAGTAATTATGAATCACTTAAAACAGGAACTTAAATTTTAATCAAATTATGAATTTGAAAAATATGTAATTATGTAAGTACCCAAAGATTCACGTAGTCCAAATACGTATTAATAAAAATTAATACGTAGGTATTAAAAATAATTTAGGTATATACTAAAAAGCACAATTCAGTAAATTTTAAACGCACAAGTACAAAACAAACTACAACGTATTCTTAAAATGTTCACCACCGTTTTCAATGCACGCACGACATGTTCGAATCCAATTTTCGCGCACTCGCTGGAAAATTATCACGTATGGTAAACATTTTAAAAAAGCAAGGAGAAACACCTCAAGAAAAGGAAATAGTATTACGTAAAAAACACTCCGTTACGGTCAAATTCCAGATATCAACTGAATTGCGTATTGATGGTTGCTGGACTGTTGGTATCTCGTGTTAATTGCCGTGCCGTTGTCACATTGCTTGATATGAATTTTATCGAATTTTAAATTTATTACAACGCTAATTATTTTTTGATTTAAGCATAAAGAAGTTAAAAAAAGTGATAAACATTGTATCTTATGGTATTCACAGGTTAAAATTGGTGTAATTTTTCAGGAGATTCTATTCAACCAATCAGGGATCGCATTATCTCGAGCGTAGACGTAACAGTTTGTGACTATTCATTGTAAACGAATCATTAATATTGGTGACGTCAAGATTTTAGGTATTTTTCGTTACCGGTACCACTCCTGCAATGTTGGTTGTCTAAGTTAGGCGGTCACGTGACTTGTAAATATTTATGAAGGCTCTGTATTAATGTTAAAGTTAAAAATGTTTTGCTTTAAATTTATAATTATATTTCTACTTTTTTGCGCACATACTAATTAAGGCTTCAGGTTTGTGAACGTCACAAGGCTAAATTTGATATTTAAATGTCTATGTCTACTATTTTTTAAAATCTATAGAAACTTACATAGTGTGACAAGTTTTCATTGGAACATTCTGTAAATACTTAATATAATACTTTATAAAAAAATTGAAAGAAATGCATGACCCATTAATTGTTCTCATGTTTGGACATTGGCATGTTTAAATCTACGATTCAAGGTCATTATGACTATGTATACTTTAAATTAAGGACGGGATTTTGTACAAAAAATATCGCCCAGCGTGAGTCACGAGACGGGACCCCGGCAGGTGCTGCTCTAGCGGCCAACGCTTCAAGGTGTGTTTTTTAACCGAACGACGAAGTCTAATAATAAACGCTGGACGTAGCGGCTCGATTTTTCAGGAGCGGCTCAAATTTGTGTACATACAATCTTATAAGGAAAGAGAGTAAAGATTTTATTAATCATTAATAGATTATCGAGGACAATAATATTTTTTTTATTAAGTAGGCAATAATTTTTAGTTAATAAGGTTAAANTCTTCGATGATTTGTGTCCTCATCTGAAGCTCTGTTACACGGTAAAAATATACATACTAAATCGCCCCCTTAATATCAGTTATGCCATTACGCACGCACTGATTAATTTGTACTGTCTTAATAATATTTGTAACAGCAGTAGCATTCAGTAATAAATTCACACCTAATTTAAAAGTATTTTATATAACATATAAAATATGTTCGCTAGTGACAAGAGTCGTACGAGTAAAAGTTGGGCTGACGACGTGCCGTCAGTTTGGTGCCTCCACCATTTCCCGTGAATTGCTAAACTTAGAATTGATTACATTTATCAGGATCAATTAGAATAGTTATTTATTGTACTAGACGATAAAATTATGTTTTATGGACGTGTGAATTGTTTTAATTCACGTGCGACGAAAGACCAACTTAATAGATGTGTACCGTACATTTTGTTTCATATGTATTTTCGATATTTCGTAATTTAATTAACAACTAAGGCCGGTTTTCGGACTATTTTAATTTTTGTACTTAAATTACAAAAAAATAATTTCTTTATCATCTGTTATCAATATTCAGTTTATTCCACTTCAAACGGAACCTCCCCACCACTCGTACATAACTCTTCTACCCTTTTTAATTGTTAGGTAAGCTTAATCCCGAAAATGTATCGTTTATTTTTTTCTGCATTTAAAAAGTGTTTAGTCCCCTCCAGAAGCATTTTTTTTCAAAAAGTTCATCCGGACTACTCGATCACTATTCCCTTTCCTCTATCACATCTACCTACCCTCCCTCACCTTTATCTTAAAACTCGATTTTATAAACATTATATTTATAATGGAACTACAAGGATTCTTTATTTTTATCATAAAAAGGTGATTTTTTACCCGCTCCTGGTATTCTTTTTTACAGATGAGCCAGAATAAATATTCTACAAGCACTTTTTTGAAATACATGCCATATTTCAAAAAACTGCTTGTAGAATATTTAAACCATTTTCTAAGTGTAAAAAGATAGATATAAGGATTTGTCAATTTTGCCGAAGATTAAAAATTGCTTAGTAGTTCGAAAACGATAAAATATACCACCCTGTGTATATTTTCGCAACCTATCCCCAAAATCACAATACAACTGCCGAAAAGCTACAGCCACCCCAACTGCATACCCATATCGACGCAACAACAATACTACCAAGCCATTGTTACAAATTTTCCCTGTTTTTTGCATTTGAAAACCATGTATTGATTACATACATCTCTCTATGCTGCTTGGAAAACTTAGTTTTCAGGTTTACTTATACAAATAGCCAAAATGCAAAGATTTACCATTCTCTTCCCCATTTCCACCCCCGTAATTGTGGAATGTTTGGATCACTTTTATTCGAAGCAGAAAGGTTCAACCTTTACACTGACACAAAAGTCAGTTTGATCGGACCAACCCTGCGCCCAGCGGTAGCGACCACAGAGCGTAGCGACCGAACATTTGCTACATTTTGATTTTGAAGTTTTTAGTCCCCTACACATACAGGGTGAGTCAGTTTTTTGTGGTAGGATTTTAACCGTTGATAGAGATTCATTTTTTAATAAGAAAAGTTCCTATAAACGTAGGTCTTAGACCGCTTCGTTTGTGAGATATAGGGTGTTGAAAACAAACTTTTTTAAGAATTTTTCTTAATATCTATAAAAGACCAACAGTTATTAAACTGAAATTTGGTATTAATCATACATTAGTTATGTTGAATAAAACAAAGATATCTGTTATCCATTTCACCCACCAGTGCATGTCGTGCCTGAGGTGGGTTACTGCCCCCTTTAAAAAAAATAATTCGTACGCCCGTGGATTTTTCTGGAAAATAACATCATTTCTAAATTTTTTAATCAATTCTGAACAAAACAGCTCTCTTTCAATTTTTTATAAAATGAACGGTTTTTGGTTAAATTCATTTGGCATGAAACTGTTCCAACGATATTGGTAATACATTTGTAATAAGAAAAATATGATGTACCCTGAAAATCAACAAAAACGATTAAATGTCATAACGTTGACATAAGAACGCAAACATTGTGTAACGTGTGTGTCAATTAGTTCTTTTTTTAAGTTCTGTGTTTGTTTTTTCATGCCAAATTTCAGTTTAATATCTGTTGGTCTTTTAGAGATATTAAGAAAAATTCTTAAAAATGTTTGTTTTCTACACCCTATATCTCACAAACGAAGCGTTTTAAGACCTATGTTTATAGGAACTTTTCTTATTAAAAAATGATTCTCTATCAACTGTTATTATTCATTCAATCGTTTTTGTTGATTTTCAGTGCACATCATATTTTTCTTATTAATTCACAAATGTATTAGGTACCAATATCGTTGGAACAGTTTCATGCCAAATGAATTTAACCAAAAACCGTTAATTTTATAAAAAATTGAAAGAGATCTGTTTTGTTCAGAATTGATTAAAAAATTTAGAAATGATGTTATTTTCCAGAAAAATTCACGGGCGTACGAATTATTTTTTTAAAGGGGGCAGTAACCCACCTCAGGCACGTCACTGGTGGGTGAAATGGATAACAGATATCTTTATTTTATTCACCATAACTAATGTGTTATTAATACCAAATTTCAGTTCAATATATGTTGGTCTTTTAGAGATATTAAGAAAAATTCTTAAAAAAAGTTTGTTTTCAACACCCTATATTTCACAAACGAAACGTTCTAAGACCTACGTTTATAGGAACTTTTTTTATTAAAAAATGATTCTCTATCAACTGTTAAAATCCTACTACAAAAAACTGACTCACCCTGTGTACATATATTTTCCTAAAATCTAGTGTTACATTACCGATATTTTAAACATTAAAGTAACTCTTACCTACCTCTAAGTCTTCGTTTTGATTCGAATCTCTCCCACCATCTCTGTATTCTTTCAATAAGTAGTAAGCGGCTTTCGAGTGCTCATGATCTTTCATCCGTGTCGTAACATCTTTCTGTTCGTAAGGCTTCACATAGTTGATACCACCGGGGTGATTGTTGAGGAATGAATATATATTGTATTTATTTTCCCTGTATTTCACTTCGAAATTTCCATCTCTTTTCATTTTTAATTTCTGAAAAATAGAGGCTGTTTTGTTATTAATCTCAAAAGGGGGACGTTATTCATTATCACGTTTCAGTTTTGAATAAATCGAAAAGTAGAATCGGAAATAGAAGGTTAAATTGTTAATAGTAAACTAGATCTTAAGGTTCACATCTTCTAAATAAGTGTACAACACATTTTAAATTACATTCATAAAAGTAGATAAAGAGAATTGTTGCCATTTTTGTAGAGAACTAATAGCTTTCATATTCATATATCATGGACGATGGTTCTGAAGAAATACTCTCATATATCAAAATGAAAAAGTTCCAAAAAAGTCTCTCAAACTTAATTTTCGAAAACAATAACTGAACTACGAAAACTGATACAGAGAATTTTCATTTTTGTTTAATTTTTCTATTATGTTTTTCTTTCTGTGTAGAATCAAAAGACATGAGTGAGATAAGACTGTAGATGAGATAGATTTGTATAAGTTTGGATTTTTCAATTGTGTAACTCATAGTTATTATAATTAACTATATGTTCTATTTTTAAAGCTGTTTGATGACCACTGGTCAAACAAATGCTGAATACGTGACTATATTTTTGAAATTCTAGCTCTCTTTGTAAATAATATGATTTTGTTGCTCCTATTATCAATTGCTGAAAGTCAGCAATAGCTTAGCAAAATTTTACCATTTTCTGATAGGTTTCTAGAACATAAACTATAGGAGCTTGCTGGAAAAATGCTCAATATGTAAAATTAATTTTTTATTTATTGAAATTTATTATTATTAAAAAAGCTGATTCAGTCATAATGTCATTAATTTTAACCACGTATTCGGAAGGCCTAATAAAGACAGAAAATCGAAAAAGAAATTACTCAATCTTTTAAAAAATAAGCAAATTACCTCTTAACTTCCGTTAATTGGGTGTCCTACTTCACGAACAGGGAACGCGCCAGCCGACGGATTACAAAGCGTTCGAACGTCGAAGCGAAATAGCTGATTTCCCCAGTCGTAAAATTACTTGCATTTAGTGTTAGCTACTAAATTCATTATTTTTATTTGGACGTATGAGAAAATAATTCGTAAAATTTTACATTAGGTTAGCAACACAGCAGCGTCTTAAAAACGTGTTATAATTTTATTTAAGAATTTAAATGATAATAATGAATAAACAGAACTTTGACAGTTTTATTTTTGGCTCAATTTTTTGAGTTTTGAAAAATTTTTAAAACAAAAATTCAAAGTTGTTCGGAGTATTAGTCCGCAGAGCACTTGTTTCCCACAATATCATAGATAATGCTAGATATCATATTGTCTTATAAAGGATGAAGAGTGAAATACCAGTGTAAATTTTCATTTGGCGTTTTGAATACATTCAATAAACGAATTTCAATGTTCACTGTTACTGATTTATTGGATATGCACCCATATAATCATTCATTTTTATTAGACCCTTTCCATCAACTATGATCCAAAGACATGGTTTTGTATTTATTCAATTTCTCGTATGTTCATTAAACATACAGGGTAATGGTAATATGTTTTAACAGATGAAAGAAAAATTTATTTTAAGTAAAAAGTTTCAAATAAACATGGGTCGTAGTTAATTTCGCTTTCGAGATAGGTATTGAAATTAATATCTCTAATATCTCTGAGGGTGTTTGATGTAGTCTGATGAAACTTGGGCCACTGATTTATCTAAATAGAAGTAAAAACCAAATAATTGACTCAAAAATATGTTAACCAGTGGCGGAGATACAAGGAGTCAATACTACTAGGAGCCTCAGAGTTTCGACAACAATGAGTATTCTGCATATTCGATTATTATTTTTTGTTACTAATTGAATTTATGAGGAAAAAGATCTCTTACATATGGGTACGCAAATAGATAGTTTTTGATATACACGGTGCTGAATTTAAAAAAAAATATTTTACTTGAAAAACGGACGATTGTAATGAAATACACTTTTTTTGGAAACACAAAAGGAGTTAGAAGTAATGTAATCGAATTTTTTAAAAAATAGAGGCGTCGAATTTCAGAATTGCGCATAAAACGTGTTTTTTTTTTTATTATTTCAACGCCTTGTATTTCGAAAACTATTGATATGTAAACATTTCTGTTTATATAACTTTTTTGACTTAAAATCACTCAAAGAATCGCCCATTAAAGTTTTTCTTTACACTACTTACATGAAAAATTTATGAAAAAAAAAACACTGAAGTAGATCATTCTTCACGACTACACAGTAATCACTACAGATTTAATATAAACAAGGCTATAACACATGATATAGTTAAAGTTTCGAAATTGATGATAGATAAACTTAACAAAAATACTAACACATTTTAATTTGAGTTTTGAGAAGGAAAACAGAGAGTTTTTTGAAACGTTAACTATGTCGCGTGTTGTACTAATTATTGTGTAGTCTTAAAATAGTATCTACGTTCTCAGTCTGATTAGTCAAAACTAAATTTGTAAATCAACTCCTTGATTGATCATTTCGGCGTAAGCGGATTTTTATTTAAAATGTATATTTTCAATGTGGCCGAATTATTCAATTAAATAAAAACAGTAAAAAGGATATTTAACATTGTAGTACGTTTATAATAATTTTCACTTGTAAGTTGAAAGTGCTGCATGTGACGAACAACGATACATTGATTTATTTGATTGTACTTATAGTGTTTGTTTCTGAACACGGGAGAAGGTAATTATATAATCGATAATATGCAGCCAATAGGCGATAAAATGCAAGAAAACGTTGTTACTGCAACGGTTGATACATTGGCGGCTCGTCAGGTGACACACCACTTCACCACATATTACACTTCACCTAAAATTTCCGATTGGTTGTGCAATTTAAAATTATTTTTAATTTTATATAAATTTTATAATTTAGGAATAATTCTATATTCAAAATGTATTGTGTTTGTTTGTTTAATACGGAGAAACAAAAAGAATAGTTGCGCGATGAGCTAAAAAAACATCATCAAAAACATTCGTTGAGCGCGAACATTAACCACGTACCATACAACGTATAGTATACGCAAGTGACATGACATCAGTCTGTATTCCGCTTCTCTTCGAAGCGTTGTTTACGGCGGTTGTCATGACAATGAGGCGGCCAACACGGGAGTAAACTACGGCGTGGGGGAACGAGTGACGCAGATATTGAAGCTGCATTGTCATCGCTCAACGCCTGCCTTTAAACAGTTTATACGATACGCGTCGTCCAGTGCATGATTATAACGATTCTTAGTTAATATTTGTTTTGTACAATAATTGTAGAAATGTTTCCTATGTATGGTCCAGTATGTATTTTATTGGAAACGCCATTTTCTAGATGGAAAATTGAAGACAAAAAGGATTTTTTAAATTGCGAGAAACCTGTGTCTTATTCTCTCGATATGGAAAAAAGGGGAAGTCAAACGACAACGTGTACGTTCGAAAGTTTCGGAATTAATGGTATTCGGAGTATAAGTGGTTGTGTGGAAGTGTTTATTTAAAAAAACTTTTCTGTATGTCGTGTTTAATTGTGGGTGTAAAGTCGAGCGTGTGGAATAAGGAGGGATTTAACAATTTTGGGAACGTCATGCGAGGCTGTCGTAATCACAAAGCTTCTTTGGAATATACATGTACGGTGTGCCTTAATGTTCACTGAAGTCCACAAGCCGAACTAATATTTCTATTTTTTATAAAATCTAAATGAAAATCCTTCTCACGAACGTCAGTTTTTCGGTAATATTGCAAAAGCAACTAAAAATTTCCAGGTTCATTTAATGCCGTTGTAGTTCTTTCTCTTTATTTGTGAGGGAACGGCCGTTATGAGCCTCTCTAGGCTCGCCTTGATGTTGATTTCGGTTAGTGTTGCTGGTTCTAAGACCGTTACGGGTGAAACCGCTTTTCAGACAATCTTCCGAGACGTTCCGTAGTGGTCTCTTCGAGTGCTTCCAAACATTTCGCCGGTCTTCTCACCAGTCTTATAATGTATCGATGCGCATGCGTTTGAGCATGCGCAGTATAGTGGTAGGAGTTGGGTGAGATGTCCCGCTTACATTGCCGCTGAAATATGTGCAGCTGCGTGCGCCACTAGTCCTGAGGAGTGGGGAGGAAGGCGTGGCGTCGGCTACACCTTCAGTATCGCAGTGCCTGATTCCGCTGCACGATAGGATGGTGAGTGACGTCTCTCGTTCATATGCAGTACCTCCAGTGCCGTTGCTTTCAGGTCATTGAAGTGATGTGTCCTTCATGCTATTGCCTTTTCTTTAGAAGAGGTAACGATGTCTCAGTTCTTCTAAACGTTTCATAATTCTTCACTGTCGGCATCATTAATAGTAACTCCGCAAAAGTTTGTTGCAACTGAGGCTGCTTGAGGCTTCATTATTGGTCTTCTAACGTTGGTGTTGCTGTCAGTACAGCTGGGCGCGCCTTTAGTCCTGTGTAATAATAATTGTATTACGTAGAAAGTCCAAAGACAATCCCCTGTGGTACTCCTGTACTGAGACAAGTTGATATGGTATTATTTTGGGTTATTGATGTCTGTTGATAAGATTTGTATGTGCTGTTAAAACCTTTTTGATAATTATTTATGGTTAGCTCGTTTATGTGGTCATAATATACTTACGTATTGATATCAAAGATTATTATATATAAATCAATTTGATAGGAAAAGGAAACCTTTTAAAATTAATTTGCCTTAGTTGAATATCTTTAAAATAATTGAAAATTATAGTATATTTTCTTTAATATTATATAATTCTATAACGTAGTATAAAAAATAAGTAGATATTTATCATTTAGGAGCTGTTACATGGTTACTTTTGTGATGATGTTCGCAGTCTTGTTGTCACTCAACAGAGATGAGAGACTCCATGGCCATCAGTTCAAACTCTTCAAAGAGAACTTCAAAACATCTATTAGACAGAACTTTTTCTCTAACAGAATGTTTAATTGTTGGAACCACCTGCACAGCGATATTGTGACCGCGACATCTGTAAAAACTCCGATTTCCCTCCATGCATT